GGATTTTGTAAAACTACATATAAAACTGCCGATTTATTCCCGTCAAAATCATTATCATTATTACCAGAATCTTGATTATAGCATTGAAAAAAATATTTGAATTTGCCAATTCACCGTATAAGTGACATCAGAAAATTGTTAATTGTGTAACTGTAGACAAGTTCGAATATGATTAAAAAGAAAATTTTCGAATAAGAAGATTGTCGATCAATATAAATGTCGAGAAAGAAATGTATTGAAATAACAGAAATATACAAATTTAGCTTCTGTCGATGAGAAAAACAATCAATTTATATCAGTTATAAAACTTTCAAGCATTAGAAAAAGCATGGCAAACAAAATGAAATTTAAAATACAGAAATAATATTGATACACAACCAAATTGAAATCGTAAATATGTATTTTATCTATGTTTCTTTTTTCCCAATAACCATTGAAACTATCAAAGTGCCTATTTATGTGATTTTGAATGAAATCAATCAGATATCAACTGATTGAATTCTTTTTTCTATGTTTTCAGTGCACGAGTTTTACAAAGTTACAACTGTGATAACAACAAATCGTAAGAGAATGAGATAATAATCATTAAAACAAAATCTATTGGTTTATTCTCGAATAAATTGTAGACAAAAGAAAAATATCAATTACAAGTAGTTAATGTTTTTCAAAATAATTTAATAATGGTCACAATAGTGAACTCGATAAAATTTCAGTATTTATCCATGAATTCCATTAAATCCAAGTTGACTCTATCGTGTGACGCAATCGCAAGATCCATTAGTTTCTCATAAAGACTACGTGCAGTTTTATCATTGACGTCATGTTGCTGATTTTACAATGGTTATTGTTTTTTTTGTGCAAATGCACGATGAATAAATACTTTGAACATATTTTTACACCTTGATAACTTAATTATCGACATATTTAACTATAGACATTTTAACTTTTCGACATCAACAAGGTGAATCTGAGTGGGTATAGTCAGTTTAGATGCATCAAGGCTTTGAATGTCAAATGAAAATTTCTCAAAGTAATATCCAATAGTCATTTTCTCATGTTGACATTGATCTTATTCCTCTAAGATAGTTTATGAACAAGAGATTATTATGTCAACTTCAATAGTTCATTGAATATTACAGAAGCTAGTATAAAACCGATTAAAATCGAAGAGTTACTCGTGGCAAAATTAATACTATTTAGGAAAATATTTTTAATAAAAGATCTAATGTGACATTTGACTTCGTCTTTTAAATAGTTAAATATGAGTTATTTTTAAAATCTTCTCTGATTATCCGATGATCTTTATAATTGAAGCTGAAATAATTGTATAAGCCTAAGGGTGTATATCCTATTGATGAGTAGAAATTCTTCAATTAGAATGATTAAAAGGATTCAATATAAAAAAAGAATGTTTAAGATTGATGTTGAACAGTATGAAAGATTTTAATGCGTCAACTGAAATGGAAGAGAAGCCCTGAAGGTAAGAACTACCACAGAGAAGACATGCAACATTATAATTGCTTTCACTGTTCGTTATCATGTCATTTACACACTTTCACAAAATCTAGTTGATATAGACAAAATAAATATCATCCTTCTAAATTTCTTTGTTATTTTTAGAAAAGTAGTAACACAATAAAAGTTTATATTATTTTCTTCTTTTTTCTTTATTGACTAATCAAGACATAACCTCATAATCAATGATTATACAAGAAACTAGTAAATAAAATACTAACGGATATAATTATTTAGAAAATAAATAAGGATTTCCGTATATAGCCAGAATTTTGGAAGTTAGTTTGTGTCAATCTATGGAAAAAATAGTTCATTTATTTACAAATTTCTTAAGAATATGTTTTTGTTTTAAATAGCTAATCGGACAAAAACTAAATAGCTACAAGAATAAACTTATACTAGAAGAGAATCTGATTGCTAGAATGAAACAGTGAAGCATCCTTTTCAGTTCTTTTGCGATGATCAGACATCATTTCAATTTATTGTTAGATGAAATATTCAGTAAGCATTATTGTTACTTATAATGAATATAACTAGTAACGCTTGTCATTCTTCATTTAGTTTCTTTTGTTGTTATGTTCATGTGTTCACTGACTGATAACAACAAACGGAAACGGGCGGCGAATGAGAGTAGCTAAGAGTATCTTAATAGACAATGACATGATTGAATTTAAGATAAAAAAAAACTAAGAGGAAATTCATTCAAAGAAGACGTCGCTCTTCACAGAATGTGCTAATAATAAAAACAATTTTTCATTAAGCTTATTTTAAGAAGGATTAATCTATGATCAGGTAAGATTTGTTACCATTAGATATTACAAAATATAAACCAGTCAATTTATTACATATTTTTGCTTTATTTAAAAATAATATTCAAAAAACAAAAAGTTGCCTTATCAGTTGGATATAGAAAAAGTCAAGTTTTCAGTAGTTTGTTTTTATATCAGCAAGTTCCACTAAACTGGAAAATGAGTTAAAATTGTAGAATACTTGACAAGCATCCGCTACTCTTTTTTTCCATGCTTTATTCCAATGTGCATGAATAACGATTGTATTTCCCTTCCATGATGACTGATATGAGAACTATTGAATTTAAATAGTATTTCAAATGAACTACATCCTTCCGAAATCTTTTGAAGAACTTGTTTTATTTGTAATCTTTTTTTTTCATTTAAATAAAACCAAAGTGGAAGAAATAGAAAGATGTAATGTTCTTTTGGTTAGGAAACAAAATTCATATTCAGGTGCGACTTAATCTGTTGTAGCTTTTTTAATATTTCTGTTTGTCGTCTGTTCTAGTTTCCACATATCCATGTGATTGATTGATAGACATTGAGCACAAAACCAGTTGATGCTTATTGGTAGATTTCATTAATGAAAAAAAAATAGATCCACAGAGAAAGAGATCTCTTTTTTTTGTCTCTCCCTTTTTCTCATGAAACCTTTCCCATTGAATATTGTTCGGAAATATTTTTTTCTATGTATGCAAGAGAAAAGGAGAAGAATTTAGTCACGGCTTGGTTAAGTGTTAATTACAGGTAGACATGAATATATCTAGAGATTTTGATTAATGTCAGTCGTTTTGTTGATGATGTTCTTCTTTTTAGATACAGTGCAAGTGAAAGAACTGCATTATTAATATAAAGTCGAAGACGTGCACATATAAGCCACTTGACGAAAACAATTAGTTAGAAATTCCTTTTTTCTTGCTCACTACTCGAAGACAGAAAACGCTTTGCTCAGGCTACATGAACACATATTAAAAAAAAAAGAAAAGAAATGTTACTTTTCTCGTTCATCATCATCTCATTATTACTGGTTTAAATATAATGGATATCGAACGAGAATAAGAGCATGCGCACGTGTGTCTTATATACTTATGAATTAAATACAAGTGATTGATTATTATTATTATTAAAGACAAATCACTATGGAATACATTTATCATTTTACAAATATTATTCGAAATACAACACAAAATTTATCGTATAAAGTATCTGGGTAAGTATTATTATATATACATATGTGCATGTGTGTGTGTGTGTTTATCATTTCATCATTCTCTTAAAAAGCAACAATTACTATTTCTTTTTCTTTTAATTTGTTCAGTTTTCTTTTTAATGATCCTTTTTCACCAGAGAAAATATGTTTTTTTAAATATTATTTGCATCAATATTTGAGTCTCATTTACTAATGATGTTAACAAAAGCCCTTTACTGTGCATTACTGCGAGCATAGAAGTTATTAGACTTTTTTTTCATTATAATCTATCCTTATGTAGGAAAAATAAAATATTATTTAAAGCACTATAAACTATCTTTCTGTCCATGTATCATATTTTTTCTTCTTCTCTTTATATATTCGCAAGAGAAGTGATAAGAATAATAATAACAGAATAATAGCATTAGCTAAATAATTACGAAATGGAGAAATGCTAATTATAGTTAAAATGAACTTCAGCGAATGTATAGAAAATATTCATCCATCAATTTAGATGATGGATTGGGTTTTTCTATTAACTATCGATTAAGAATAAAAAAAAGTGTTATCTCGTTATTTAGTGTTTAATGCATAACTCATGTTCTCACTTGAAAATAGTATAGCCTAATAGTCGGAAGGAAAAAAATAAGGGAAGGTGATTTGAACTATAAAAAGGAAGACCGAGAAAATTCAATAGGTTTTCATATTTCCGCTTGTAAATGAATAGCTGTTATAAATAGAAGATTAGATAGGAAGACTCATTCCATATGGGAAATCAACAAGCATAGAAAGTAAACACATAAATAACTATTTATTCAATAAGGAATATCGAAATTTGTAAAATAATTTCAATGATAGGAAAGCTGATTTCACACTGATTGTTTTTTTTTGAAAATAAAATCTAATAAAAGATCTGTTTTTTTCTTTTATTACTTAAACGAGTATAATATGAACTAACAGGAAGTCATATTCTTATAACTTGAAGCAGTGGAATCTTCGCATTTTTTTGTCAAGGTCGTTCATCATCAATATGCAACAATGCATTACATATTTTTTCCCCAATGATCTCAACTCACTTAACAAGTCAGGTGTGAAACTATATTTCTTTGTTACGTTTGTTTTTATCGAATACATACATTTAAAAGAAAAGATCAAATTCATGAAAATCCACCGATGAAAATCATTCTATCAGATTCATTGTAGTTTATCTCTGTTTTTCTATGAAACATGAAGTAAATTATTGTCAACATTAGATAGGCGAGCATAATCAATGAATAAGAACTATAAAAAAAATAGAAGTATCTCGTTCCATCTGACAATTATGAACAATAAATAAGGATAAATCTATGTATATTGTTATCAATATCTCAAGAGAATAACAAACAAAATTTGACGTCAAATAAATATTTTATTTAAGAAAAAAAAACATAGATATCAAACTAATGAAAAAATATTTTTAATTAAAGTGTACTTCAACGTAATAATCCAAATACTCAATCAGACTATGCCGAATTAATTGAAGACGATGATGCAACACAACGTCGACATATCAAAACAATTCCAGCAACATCATCAAAATATGCGTCATATATTCCATCTCGTCTGCGATGCATTGATTCTATTAAAGCAATGCCTGTCCGATATCAAACAGCATTCCTTAGTTCATTAGGATTTCTTATATCTTTTGGTATTCGTTGTAATATGGGCGTTAGTGTTGTCGCTATGACACACAATGAAACAGAAAAACTTTCAAATGGAACGATTAAAATTGTTAAAGTAAAGAAAAAAACTGTTTTTATGTCGTTAAAAATCCATCTCTCTCTCTATATATATATATGTATATTTAAATAGCAAGCTGAATTTGATTGGACACCAGGGATCATTGGTATTGTTGATAGTTCTTTCTTTTGGGGTTATCTTATTACACAAGTACCAGGTGGATATTTAGCAGCAAAATTTCCAGCTAACCAGTAAGAAAAACTTTTCTTTTAATAAAGACAATAGTTAATACTTTTTTTTGTTGTTTAGTGTATTTGGATTTGCACTTGGTATATCATCATTCCTCAATTTATTTATTCCGTTTGCAGCTAAAATTCATTATGGTATAGTAATGATTCTTCGCATACTCCAAGGACTTGTTGAAGTAAGTCAAAATTATGAGTTCATTTTTTTGAAAAGAATTTTTTCTTTTATTTTTATTAGGGTGTGACTTATCCGGCAGCACATGGAATTTGGCGATGGTGGGCACCACCTTTAGAACGAAGCACATTGGCAACAATATCATTCACTGGTTCTTTTTTTTTCTTAATTTTTTTTCCATAAAACTAATTAGTTTTCATTTCTAGGATCATATGCAGGTGCTGTTCTTGGAATTCCACTCTCTGGAATACTTACGGAATATTTTAATTGGCAAATTGCTTTTTATTTTTACGGTAAAATTGATTTGAAACTTTTTATAATACAATTCATGCATAAATAGGTTTGATTGGAATGATTTGGTCTGTTTATTGGTGGCATTTCTCATATGAACGACCAGCTATTCATCCAAAAATTAGCGAAGCTGAACGAATTTATATTGAAGAAAGCATCGGAGAAGCTAGTTCTATTGCGAATAAGGTAAATTAAAAATAATTACAATATAATTTAATGTAATTCACAAAAATATCTTATTACCACTTGATTACAAACTGAGAATATTTTTTATTTGGTAGAAACAAAATTTCGAAAATTTTATTTTTTGCCAGATAATTTGAATTATATTGTTGAATTTTTATTACATCATAGTTTTTGAAATATGGCAAGAATTTTAGATTTTCATTGATCGAGAAATCTAATAGCTGTGTCAGAGAAAACAAGAAAGTCAATGAAGAAATAAACAAAAATAAACTCTATATCTCATGCTTAATCTTGAGCTGTGTAGGGATGCACCAGTACCAGTATTACTGGTTGTATGGGTACCAGTATTTCTCATTTGTCAGATTCATCGGTACCAACACGCACCAGTATTGGAGGTGTTAGTGTGGAACTCTGAATACTGGTGTGTGTAGACACCGATGATCCTGGCAAACTAGAGATACTGGTACTGGTGCATCCCTAAAGCTGTGTATCTTCTCAATAACGAAATAAACATTTCAAATGATGAGTTTTGCTGTCTAGTAAAAAATACATCAACATACTGCTTAGCTCTCAAATTGTAAATATTTATTAATAATCAATAGGACTGCATCGTTGAAATTTACGATTTACTCGACTCATAAAGTATGTTGATCAATATTGAGTGTTTATCTTGCGTCTGTTTAAATAAAAAGAATGTAGTTAAACATATATTTTTAAAATTTTGATAAATATAATAAGTTAACTGGTAAAGAGAAAAGGATTTTTAACTTATCATGCTATTCGCATCTAACAATCATTTTAATTACGTTAAAAAGTTTATGAATTCGATGCACTTGAAAAAACAACTCCATTAAGTGATGAAATTTAGATACGACGAGGAAACACACGCAACTTTACGATCCGTTTTATTTTGAACGTAAGATTATTCCTATTCTATCGATCGTTCTCAATAGTACAACAAATTCATTTAGTTTTGATTTTTCGATTTCCTTCGCTGATTGATGTTAATTTCTTGATACAATTTTGTCATGTGAACATTTATTTGACGTGAAGCTTTTAACACACACACATCTATATACGTATATGATAGTCTCTACAAATTTTGTCAACTCTGAGTTTGAGCAAACATCGGTTTGCTAATGCATTTGAACATTGAAGAAATACGTTTTTAAGATTGTATTTCAAAAGATAAATATTTATCATAACTATATAACAGGCGGAGTCGGATGACCTAATTCTGCCGGTAAAAACAATATTTTTTGTATTTCTTTTATAACTCGAGTTATACATATCGTAGAAAAGTCATTGTTTCTTTCCGGGATAGAACCAATATTTCTCTATCGAATGATATAAGATCGTTAACAAAATAATAAACGAATCACATCAGAGAAAGGTGACAATAGAGAGGGGGTCAATGTATTTTTTTTCCTAATTCTGCCGATTACATGGAAAACTGCAGTAAATTTTAGAAAACGTTTATTATTTTTATGACGCTGATAGAATATATATGTTAGACAAAATATATCATTCGGTTCGTCTTGACATCGGCTATCTGATGATATGTTTTTCTTAATGATTCGTAAATATTATACACATTTTTTTCTTGTGAAAAGAAAAAAGTGACCGGGAAAATTTTTTCCTGTTCCTAATGTTGCCAAACGTAATGAAAAATACATAGAACTATTAAAGATAATCACGTGGGTGCTTTCTTGACTAGACAAAATCACTATCATTCTTATATCATTCGATAGATCCTCAGTCGTATGAAGTGGGAAGAAGTAAACCTAATTACACGTGATTTTTTTTTCTGTTCGAAAGACGTTCAACAAGAGGGACCACTATACTTCAACCCATTACTCTACGGGATAACTGTGCTTTAGAGTAAAATCAATAGCATATTCGGAATCAGCGGCTTAAATTACATTCGTCCAGGGATTTTTTTCCGAAAAAAACCAATTTCACCAAAAATTTACCTGAGGTCCCCCTCATTACGTTTTTCTGAAACATTTTGCTACAGTCCCCCTAAGGTAAGCTTTTGGTGAAAAAAATTGTTTCTCGAAAAAATACTGGGCAGGTGTAATTTGTGCCGCTGATTCCAAATATGCTATTGATTTTACTCTAAAGCACAGTTATCCCGTAGAGTAATGGGTTGAAGTATAGTGGTCCCTCTTGTTGAACGTCTTTCGAACAGAAAAAAAAATCACGTGTAATTAGGTTTACTTCTTCCCACTTCATACGACTGAGGATCTATCGAATGATATAAGAATGATAGTGATTTTGTCTAGTCAAGAAAGCACCCACGTGATTATCTTTAATAGTTCTATGTATTTTTCATTACGTTTGGCAACATTAGGAACAGGAAAAAATTTTCCCGGTCACTTTTTTCTTTTCACAAGAAAAAAATGTGTATAATATTTACGAATCATTAAGAAAAACATATCATCAGATAGCCGATGTCAAGACGAACCGAATGATATATTTTGTCTAACATATATATTCTATCAGCGTCATAAAAATAATAAACGTTTTCTAAAATTTACTGCAGTTTTCCATGTAATCGGCAGAATTAGGAAAAAAAATACATTGACCCCCTCTCTATTGTCACCTTTCTCTGATGTGATTCGTTTATTATTTTGTTAACGATCTTATATCATTCGATAGAGAAATATTGGTTCTATCCCGGAAAGAAACAATGACTTTTCTACGATATGTATAACTCGAGTTATAAAAGAAATACAAAAAATATTGTTTTTACCGGCAGAATTAGGTCATCCGACTGGATATGAAAGAAAACTGATTGTTGCAAAGTTTCTCTGATTAGATCGTTAACGTTGATATAATTTAATAATTTAGCGTACAACTGTATTAAATATCAATATAGATAATAATTTAATCAGTTCAATGCTTTTAGACATGGATAAAACCTCCTTGGCGCTGTTTTTTTACATCAAAACCAGTGTGGGCAATAATCGTGGCTAATTTTTGTCGTTCATGGTCATTTTATTTATTAATAAATTCTCAAGCCGAGTACTTTCGAGAAGCACTTGATTACAATGTTGGAAAGGTTTGATATTTCTAAAAAAATATAATATCTCTTAGAATAATTGAATATGAAATATTAAGAATCCACTTTTGGCTGCTTTACCTCATCTAACAATGTCATGTATTGTGCCATTTGCTGGTAAATTAGCTGATTATTTACGTACAAATTATCTATCAACAACAACTGTTCGCAAAATAATGAATTGTGGTGGTTTTGGACTAGAAGCTGTTTTTCTTTTACTTGTGGCTTATGCAAAAAATCCTCGATTAGCTATTGGAGCATTGACGATCGCTGTGGGATTCAGCGGCTTTGCAATATCAGGTTAAACATAGAAGAAGCAAAAAGAAACTATTGTTCTTTCTATTATTATCTCTTAGGATTTAATGTAAATCATCTTGATATAGCTCCACGTTATGCAAGTATTCTTATGGGAATTTCAAATGGAGTGGGGACATTGGCCGGTATGCTATGTCCAGTTGCCGTTGAATTTTTAACTAAACAAGGGGTAAATCGCTTTGTTCTTGTTGTAAATCATTTTTCCCTAATTGCTAAAATTTTTTTTAAGAAACGTGAGGAATGGGCACATGTATTTCTAATTGCTTCATTAATACATTTTTGTGGAGTCATATTTTATGGTTTATTTGCATCCGGTGAAAAACAACCATGGGCAGAACCAACACCCGCCAACAATATAACATCGGATGAGCCGTATAAGCGTAAAGGAAAACAAAAACTTTACTTTTTATTTTAACTTTAGAAATTATTTTTCTTTTTTTGATAAATAGATGGCGATGAACAAAATGTCACATACGGATCAACAGTCACAGATGGTAGTGGTTATCAATCAACTGATCCATTTGCTGGTATGGCGAATGGAAATTATACAAATTTGCCAGGTCGAATGAATCAGCAAACACAGTTCGTTCCAATTACAATTGAAAATCCGATGTATCAAAATTATCGTTAGATTTTACTCAACAGTGATATTACTTTTTCTCCTTTATTGACAATCATTATATACCTTTTTATCCGGTTTTATCTTTAGAATTTATTATTTGTTAGTGAGAAGCATATTGTTCGTTTTTGGTTTTGTTTTTTTAATTGTAATATGTTGTTTGTCATTAATTATTTTCATTTATGTCAATCTTATTTTCTCTCATTAATTGAAAGATTATGATTTATTTTGAATATCAATGTCAAACTCAAGAAAAAGAAAAGTGCGTGACATATATTTTGAAAGTAATAAGGTTCAATAACATGTTGAATGCTTTTGATATGATCAAGAAAGAATGAGCACAAAATGTACGAGTCGGATCCAGCGACTATTGAATTCGCCTAATAAACTAATATTCGTTTGATGTATAATTATATTCAAAGTATGGTTCTCTTATTTCTTTTCATATTATTGTTGACAATTTTATTGCTTGATTTTTCTTCTCGCTTCTTTATACATGAAGACAGCCAAGAGAGAAACAAGACGACATATTGGGTTTCAAAGTAAAAAGAAAGGAAAGCTGTACCAAAAGAAAAATGAACAGAAAATAACGAGTTTTTAAAGACTTCATATTGTAAATAGAGAACGACAGAGACGAACGAATAAGAGTTAAATACTTCAGATCACTAAAGTTATTAAAAGAAAGAAAAAAAAGTTGTCTTGAAAAGCAAAAAAGAAAAGGCAAAAGACTCTCTTTCTCGAATGCGATTACTTGTGCACAAGAATATGTGTAAACTAATAGTAAACAAACAAATGAAATTTAAAAAAAAGTACTCAAATGAAGTTTCTGGTCTATTGAATTTTTCATAAACCAAAATATCCTTTATAAGCAAAATGATTAATGTAAACAAAATCAATTTGTCAGTTCGAGGTACATGTTTGTCTTTCCAGATCAAATAGTCAATAAACAAAGATTTGCTTAGTAAAAGAAATTGTTATTTTTGCTTGTTCTTTGTCTTTTGTTTATTATACATTAAATATGCGATATGTTCTTGTTTATTGACGATATTATCAACACTTTAATATCTGATTCGCTTATTCAAAATTATTTTTATCAATTCTTCATCAGATTTTAACTCATGAACATAAAAAAATCCAAAAGAAGATTGAGCACAATCTCGGGTCTCATATCAAATCTTATTGATATATGAAGTGTCTCTAACAGTTGTATAGCACATATGTTTGTAGTAGTGTAAGATATTTACTTTTCTCGTTCTCTCTGTCTCAGTCTCTCTCTCTCTCTGTATGAATAATACAAATTAAACATGATGCATTATTAAAAAAGATTTGCCATTGTGTATGTATGTATTTTGTGCCAGTTCGAATGTATGTTACAATACAATGCAACATCATTATTACAAAATGAAGCAATGATCATACTGATTAAAATATCCAACATTGTTTTTTGTTATTTCGTAAGTCAAATATATGTAAAACAAAAAAGAAATTGTAGAAGTTAACGATGCCATCATATAAGAATCTATTGATTGTCAGCTTTTCAAATAAGATTTTTATTTTCATTCTAAGGATATTGTGCATAGATTTAATAAAAGAATATTTTGTCTACTAGAGTTATTGTTTAATGCGCAGAGATTTTTTTTATACAATTATCTTGAAGTACAACGCTACTCCTGTTGAAACTAGAAGTAAGGATATGGCGATTGTGAGATATAAAAAAAGTAGATTCACTTAATGTTAGAAAGTTTTCGTATATTTAGCATAAAAAACACACGATTTCACGATGAGACAAAAATTCTATATTCACACTATCAAAATTGAAAACAAAGTACCTGAAATCTTCTCATTTTTTTCCTCTTCATCTCATTCATGACCAACGCACTATTCACATGAATTCAATTTTATTTTGCTTTCTTTCTTTCTTTCTTTCTTTTTTTTCTACACTCGTCCAAAAACAAACTGGTTGTCTTTAGATCTATCTGTACATATTTACAGTTGCTAGTTATTCATTTAAAAGCATGTTTTGAAAATTTTTGAGACACTTCAATAGAGAGAAATGAATAAAAACTAATAATAATTGTACATATACATAGGAAACAAGATATTTGTCTTTGTTGAACATTGAATATATACTTTGTCAGAAGAATAAAGTGTACGTTGTTTAATTAAAGGCAAAGAATAATTTACTAGAGGTCAAATTCAGGTCAAAGAGATTTTCATTTGATAGACATCAGATGCAATATAAAACATATTCGTTGATATTTAAGAAAAATGATTAGGATTTTTATATAAAATCATAGAGAAATTTTCTGATTAAAATTCTTTTATATTATTTATTAATCGTCTGAAGAAAAACTCTTGTAGCTAACTAAAAGATCAAGTCATCAAGAGCAAAATAAATGTCATGAAGATTTTTCATTATTAAAGATCAGAAAAACTCTCATAAAAGATACTCATTATTTCTTATTGTTATTAATCCGACCTATAAGAAAAACGAATGTTTGATTAAGATAAAAAAACAAGAAGTAGAAGATCATTTCTGTTCTTTTTTTTTGTACATGTGCAAATTATCATTGAGGTCTATGTAGTTTCACTGACACATTCAATGACATTTTCTGGTATTATAATTGACCGATAGAAAGAGAGTAGATGAGATGATTTGCTATATCTCATCATTCTTATCATCAAAAAAATAGACATGTCACATATACATTTATGTAAACACATAAAGGAATACTTCTATATTTGTCCTTGTTCGTCCTTTATATACAAATAGGATATTAAAATAATATAAATAAAAAATTAGAAAAGCTCTTAAATGAAAAATAAAATCGAAATAAAAACATGTTGATCCCCTAAGCAATTTATTAATTCTATTTTTATGAACGATAGAATCTCATATGTTCATAGTTGATTGTTATGATCAACAACAAGTCTTTTCGCTTTTGTCAATACCCAATGAGCCTTTGGCTAATACAGCAGATATGCATTTCTTTTTTTCGACACCTTTTTTTTCTTATTTTTCTCCTTTTCTTCTGTCATATGGTTGAAGCCATATGGAAACTCTTGTCCTTACTCTTCATCTCACCAAAAAATTTGCGCATTCAACAACAATCATTCAGAGAAAAAGAGAATGGCGCTGTGTTGATCTAATTGACTTTATCATATTTTTGCGATCTACTCCTCACAACAAAAATGTATATACACATCGCAAAAACACTATCGATAGTATGCAAACGCATATATTCTCCTCTTTTGATGTGAGAGAAACTGCTGCTTAGCGAATACTATATGTACAAAACAGAAAAGTGAAAAATCAATCATGCTTGCACGATGTGTCTAGTGTAAAAATGCACTTCTCTTAGGTATATATGCATCATTATATCAAGGCATGGCTATTCGTCGCATAGATATACATGTATCTAAATGTTCTTCATATTGGCGTTATCGTAACATATTGCCAATTGATACATTGACAGAAAACAGAGAATGAAAGAGGAAATGACTTTATATTTTGGCAAAGATAAACAAGCAAAACGACGAATGAAAATATAACCTTCTCTTCTGTCATCTAGTGCGCATTCTTTCAACATAGAATATATTAACGATCATTATTCAATAGAACAGATATTGAGTAAGTGCTTTCTATCATCAGATATAAAAGTTATTTTATTACTAATATCAACGAAGAATAAGAATAAGAATATTATAGCTACGATATATTAATAATGTTTTGATAATTAATGCCTACGTACAGTTAGTATGATATGAAGCCTGTGCGATCTCTGTTCTATTTTTCTGATGAAAGTGGACGACATTGTTTGTTATTCTATATGAAGGTCATCGTTATCGGTTTATACTTTCGTTATAGAACATTCATTCAATGTACTTGTCATTGTTAGGAGTATTCATCATTGTCGTTCAATTTCTCTTCATCTTTTTTTTTGTTTTGTTCATATTAAAATTATTCGTTTAATACGACTTAGAATAGTTTTTGATATTTAAAGATGAGAATCTATTTTCTTTAATGAATTAGTATACTAAGTTTTTTGTTTTTATTAATTCTTCCTAGAATAAAACTAATCAAAATGTGATTAATCATGGAGACAAATAAAATGTTATTGGTATGCCGGTAAAACATATTCTATCAATTATCAGTGCGTTTTTAGTCATATATTTACGGAAAATTTCTATATTGAAAAATAAAATTCATATAGAAAAGTATATTGATGTTTTCATAATTGGTTTTCTTTTAATTGAAATTAACTATGAATATCTCATTAATTGTTTGGTTATATTAAAATTTCTAATTCTTTTGACAGAGAGTGTAGTTAAAACAAGTTTTTTTTTGATAATTATTTAAGTAAACGAAACCTTCCTTGATAAGAAAATTTGTTTAAATTGAAAATCTATTCGTATCTTTTCTTTTCTAGCAAGACTGGCATTATCCAATTTTAATTGAGTCCTTCATTCCGTGTAAATGTTCATCATTTAAATCTTTTACTAAACCTATGTAAAGATAAAATAAAATAGTTCATTTGGATGAGAAATTTAGTAGATTCAATTGAACTCTATTAATAATAATCATGTTTTATAAATCGTGAGCAGTCACGATTGAATAAAACAAAAAGGTGACTTATTCGATAGTTCTTAATTCTATTTAATGACTTTTACGATAACATCCAACGGAATTTGACTGTTACATTTTGGATTTAAACATATCCAAGACTAAAACGAAAGACATTCATGCTACAGTTTAAGATATAATACGTCATTCATTGATAAACTATACAATGTAGAGTTTCTATATCTAATTATTGAAACATACTCTTAGATTCATAATACATTATTATGTATAGGAATTTATTTTATAGATTTAAATCCGACAGTCTTAAATATCCATCAAAAAACTCATTTCAATAATAACAACATCAATAGATAATCTAGTAAACACATACTGTAAAAATTTTGAAATTATCTGACGAAGAGAAGACAAAACTTTTACTGATGACATATAACGATAATGATAAAATAGAAATTTCACTTGAACAAATAGAAAAACAAATTTTGTTGTATAATTATATTTGATTCTGACACATGATTTATTTTAATAAGTCTTTTGCCGGATATTTCCCATTATTTTTATTAATCAGTAATGATCAACTCAATAAATTATAATAAATAGAGAAACTTCTTTTTTTGAACCAAAAACTCTAAGAATTTTTTCCAAAATAGATGTCTTTTTGTTTTATTCAACTGATTCGGAAAAAAAGAACAATCTTACAATTATTTTGTCAATGCTTAAAGATCAGAACAGAGAATTATTTGCGCTTATTTTCTTGTCTATTAATTCATAGTCACCGAACAATGAATAAAAAAAACATTTTATATAAGATATTTACATTTGTAATAAATGAATTCACTTAGAAGTTTAGAGTTTTTCTCGCAAAATTTATTTGTTTCGAAATCTATTCTAAATAGATAAAACCTCTCATTTTCAAATTTGATAATATTAGAAAATTTTGAAAATCGATCGATTTATTCATAGACAAATAAAGAAAAACAGTAAAATAAACGATTTATATAAAATAGTTTCCAATGAGAGATTTTTCTTCGTTAAGCTCTGATTAGTTAATGAAAGAAAACTAAACTCTTTTTGTGAAGATGGATTTTCTGTTTATGTTGACACTTGAAAATGTAATTTGTTCGATGATCTACATTATTCTATGTGAAGTGCTATTGTCATAATAGAAATAAGCCTTATTTTCTAAACTAGCTTCTTTATAATAATTGATCTGTAGCAAAATTTATTTAGGATAAAAAGAAAATGAGAACTTTTTTCTCTTGCTTATTATTTAGTTGATTTCAAATTTACAGATTTTATTTGTATAAAATTTGATGAAAGAAAGTTTTCTATTTAACATTAAATTCTTTTTAAACATATTTAGAATATGTTAATATTATTAACATCTCTTAGATATTCATTTATTTTTCTTTCTCGTCGATTTAAATGCAGAAGAAGAGTACAAAACAATGTAATTATGCGATTCAAAAGGATATTCATCATAAATAAAAACCTGAGATTGATTATTTATCTTATAAGCAAATGCATTTGGCACATAAGAGTAAGGCGTTTTTCTGTGAAGAATGAATAAGTTGTTTATTTTCCTGCATAAGATAAAATCAATGTGAATCAATAATTCTAAGTGCGGAAATCAAAGTATTTTCGTTTATCTTTTCTTTCCCTCTATCATATAAGAGTGAGATTTATTTTCCGTTATACTTATCCAAATGTGTGGCTTCACTTCGTTAGTGATATTCTCATTTTGGCATTTCCTTTTTTTTAAATTTTATTCCTATAAAAGTCATAGTCCTATGTATTTTCAAATGTATAAATAAAATATTGATAATGCAAAGAAATCAACCAAGATGATATGTGAATCTTAAGGTTGTTATATTCACAACTTTACCATTTTTTCTCTCTTCTGTACTCAGTGATGATTTAAATGTGCGCCGCTAAGGAACAAGCGTTCTCTTTTTTCTTGCAAGATCATTTTTTTCCATTTTTCACCGAAGAACTAGCCGAATATTATCTTATTACTATGATAGACAATATTCTGAAATCTTAGTACTTTTACAGATGATTTTCCTTTCTCATGTTTTTAACTTTTGAAAACGGTTAAACATGTATACTGTTCACTAGTAGATCGATAATGAAAGAAAAGGAACTGCTTGCTGATCAATAGTTTTTTGGCACATTCATGCCATGAATGGAAACATTATTTTCACCCCCTTTTTTTTGTTCTTCTTCATTCTGTTCTTGTGCATGTACGCATAGAGAATCAAATAAACTGTCTGTTGAGAAAGAGAGAGAGGAGAGAAAGAGAGAAGAGATGGATGCCTATTGTGCCTTTGCCATTGCCGAGATGAGATGAAACGATTGAATGAATGAATGAATGAATGAGTGAAATGTGCACAGTGCCTATTAATAGTAAACGAGACTGACGTGTCTCATATAACCATGAATAGTTGATATAATAAGACATGAGAACAAAATCGAAGTAAGACCTTTTTTCGATTTGTTAGATAGTAAAAAAGAATTATGTCTTTTTATTTTATTTGTCTACACGAAAGGTAATTAGTTGTTGAATGTTTCAGTAGAAAAAAAGAGAAAGAATGCTGTTAGACGAAGGTAACTATATCAAGAAATATATTTTAGGCAGTGATTAGTAAAAACACTATAGGTCTTGAATAGAATCAAAAACTTACAGAATTGTTCATATTAAATAAAATACAACTGGTCGTATCTTGTTTCTTTTTTTTCTTTTTTGTTGTTTCTTATTGTTGTACTCAAGTCACGTATTATCTATTATCTATGTCTTTTAATAAACGAAACGCGTTGTATGTTTTAACTAGATAAGTTGAAAATGTCGACTAACATTTTTATTAAATGATATTCTTTCTTTTCGTGTAAGTAAATGAATTTTTATATTGTAGGCATTCGAACAAAGAAAAAGAAATCACGACACAGCATCATGTTATTCGTCAATGTTTTATTGAATTCAGTATCGTCAACATAAAATAGGTCGTATTCGTTTTTCTTTATTGATTATCAAATGTTTATGAGTAAGGTTTTTTTCTTGATTTGATAGAGTTTATAAAAAATATTTGAGAATTCAATTTTTTTTCGGAATATTTATTGGAATATTCTAATTGTTGCTAATGAAATGATATTCATCTATGCATATTATTAATTTAATTAATGGACATGCATTTGTTGTGCATTATTGTAGAAACGACTAGTGAGTGCGATAACAGGTGCACCAATAAAATCTCTTTAGTATTGAAAAAGAAAATCTTCGTATTTAACAACTATTTTTTGTCATTTCTATTGAAAGCAAAAAAATCCTTTTAAAATTGATTGTGTATATTTGAATATAATTAAACTGGTGTTATATGTTCATTAGTCGATAAAGCTATTTTATTTCATACGAGAAAAAGTCCTGAAGGATTTTATAATTAATGTTTCAATTTGATTTCCGGTGAAATAAATGTAGTTTTAGCTCATATTAAAGTTAGAACAGTGTTTTTTCCAAATGTCCTTGTGTATTAAAAGACAAGAGAAAAATCTATGCGTCTTTTTTTCAATTGAGTGCTTTGTTTGCATTTGAGATCAAAGTTTCTATTTAACATAAGGAGCTAAGCCGATTGGGTTAAGATTTTCTAAATGAATGGATTTAGATTTAAATAAATATCAATTGCAGATTAATTAATAGGAAACTTTTGTTTTTCTTATCAACTTTTCGATGAAAGAAAATATAACGATGAGTGAGTAGGAGATCATTTTGACGACTATATATTTAAGAGGCAGGTGAAAGCTTTATTCAGCATCGCTTCTTTCTAGTTCAAATTTGATGATTCAATTTGATTTTATTATGCAAAAAGAAATCTTTGTTCTTTTAGCTTTGAATATATCAGTTGAAAAAAACAATTTTTTAAAAAGAAGGTATATTTGCTTTGGACTACCACTTGACATAAGACGATGCATTCGTTTAGAGTGTTTCTTTTTCGTTGAGTTCAGATTCAAAACTGAATATGAGATCAATAAAAAAAAATGGCCTAGTATACATCGTCATTTGCCGCCATCTAGACATGTCAAATAAAATATTGTAATGTAGATGTTTATCTGTCCGAACTGGTTAAAAAATGCTTGTTATTATTATTATTTGTTTCGTTATGTTCGATTTGTAAATGAAAAAAAAACAATTTCACACATTTCTAGATGATAATAATTATATTTTTTTCCTTTTATTAAAATCAAACGAAATATCTAATAAAATCATTCCATTACTAAAAGAAAACAATCTCATTTATCAATCCGGTGTTATTTATTGTATTACTTTCATTTGCAATATGATTCAAAATTTCTTTTAACAAAAGAAAAAAAAATGTTAAGACGATCATCAACAACAACAACAATAAATGAAGAAGATCAAAAAACATTTTCATTGAAAAAACGTTGGTTAGCACATCATCATGATGATCAACAGCAACAAGTTAATAATCTAAGTAATTTTGAAAAATATGTAAACAATTTTCAATAGTTTTTATTTGATTTCTTTAGATTATTTTTCTGAAATAAAAAAGTTATTAAACGAATATAGTTTTCAAGATTGGCGAACAATAACAGTTCTTGTAGAAACTAATTCTAATGAATATATATCAGGTAAACTAAATCACATTGGATTAAATGGTTGTTTATCTGTACAATCAAATATTTCTTCATATGAAAAATCAATTGAAATAAATATTTATGAAAATATTTTTGGAATTTTATCTGATAATGCGCCATCCATTCAAGATTTAGTGGAAGGAAAATTCATTTTATGTAAAAATCCACCGAATCATCATATCTATCAAACAGCAGTTATTGTTGAAAAAACAAAAGAAGGAAAATTTAAAATTTTATTTAAAGATCAAACTGAACTTTTATGTGTACCGCGGCAATCCATTAGATTGTTCTTACCACCATGGCATGATGGTTCGTTGTTGTTCTTGTTCTTGTTGTTTTTTGTCGTAATTTTTATTACTATCTATTTATTTTTGCTTTAGAAGTTTCAATTGATTGGAATGCAGCACTTTATCAAACAGGATTATTTACTTTTAATAAAACTTTAAATGGTAAATGTATTAAATAGTATTATCTTTTAAAGATCATGAACATAGTTTTGAATCTAAAAACAAATATTCATAGTAGTGAATAATTGTTTGAACTCATTTCAATGCTTACAAATCGTCCGTACATTTTGTTAGCTATCAATTTAACTTATAGATGATTGAGATTCAACGCTATTCTAGATTGATTGTCTAAAGATTAGAATAAACTTTGAAAATTGTTTCACTTTTTTCATGAGACTTCTAAAGTTGATATGCAGATTATATTTTTTCTTCTAACACATGCATTTCTCATGAATTTCAGTAATTTATGACATGAGTTTCTTGTTCAAATAGTCTGAGATAAGGTTTCTAATAAAATAATATTTCTTGTCTGAGTAATTTTCTTTGATGATATCATTCCCTACGAGTATAAATTAGAATATTTTGTTGTACGTAAACATAACTTATTGTTGAAAAAAAAACAATATAAGTAGAATTAAATTTCGGAAAAAATTTAACACACAATACCGTTCATTTGTTTTGAAATATTTCTAATTCATAGTTTTACTTTTATTAGAATATAATTAGATTAGAAAATCTTCTTTGAAACGTCGTATTTCAATAGAAATAATTAAATATTTTTACATACGAACTGAGAAATAATTTGTGTTCTATAACATTGTTTTGTGTAAAAGAATTCGATTATATGTGAATTTTGAAAAACAATATTGAGCGTGTCCTACAATTCATGTAATTTATTTCCTACGAATTAAATCAAATAAGAAAAGAATAGTATACAACAAATATATGTTGATTAAGTCTTCCTATAACTTATGACTATTTTAAAATTTCTAATAATAAAAAGTTGTATGATTGTATTAAAAACTCCATTAATAAATATCTTTGTAAATCGAACAATATTTAATGGTTTCTCTTCCTATAAGAATATCTCGATTGTACATGTATACATGAAAGGCATTTCTTTCTTCTGATTTACGAATATGTATAATTTATACATGCATCAATTACTTTAAAAGTGCAATAGAAAATTATTATATAATGTGTCGTATTTATTTGACAAGAAAAAAAAAGAATTCAATAATTAATCAACGAATTAGTATCAAACTGAATTTAGACTGATATTTTAAAGAGGAAAAAAGACAACATTTGTCGTCTAGTGAAAAACAAATTCACCTAACTGAAGACATCTAAATGACACTAGATGATTAAAAGAATGTGAAGGAACACAAAAAAAGTTTAATCAGAACTAGTATAAACGCAGGTATGCTAAAAATAATATCTCTATTTCACTGAAAATATTTTCTACATCTATAAACAGAAAATTTTCCCTACACAAAATTTTGTTTAGTCATCATGAAGATATTTCTGATTGACAAATTTTGTTTTAATAATTCTTTCTTTTTTTAATTTTATAAATAGGTTTATGTGTAAGTCCATCATTTGAAGATTCCTGTTCAACAATCGAATCATCGAATGTTAAAAATGATATTTGTGATAATATATCAGATGAAAAATCATATCGTAAAGGTGATATTATAACACTTGATTCTCAAAATCGAAAAAAATTCAATGGTAAACAATGGCGTCGTCTTTGTTCTTATAAGACTTGTACAAAAGAATCTCAAAAATTTGGTCTTTGTTCAAGACATTTATCATTAAAAGGACAAGACAAAGACAAAAATCCGATAGATGTTCCATTAAATATAACTAGTCATCAATCTCATTCAACTAAACCAATTTTTCCATTAGAAAATTCATCAAAATCAGCAAAAGATAAATCAATTCGTCGTCCAATTAATTCATTTATGTTATTTTCTCAAGAAGAACGTGCAAAAATTCATTTGGAGAATCCTTATCATGATAATCGAAATGTATCAAAAATCTTAGGTGAAAGATGGTATTCATTACCACAAAATCAACGGGAATTATATAAAACACGAGCAAACCAATTAAACGAGCAAAATAAAGAACAATTAAGACGATCAACGAGATTACAATCAACAAATAAAGTGGTATCACCGCCTACGCCATCCGATCCACTTCAAGTTTTTGCACAAGTATTTTGATTTTTCAATAAAATTTCATTTATTTTTATTTTTTTTAACTGAACAGATTTGTACAAATATGCCAAAATTAAACGAATATTTTTCACCCATTACGAAACCAACGTTAGAAAATACATCGATATTAACAAATATTGTAACACCTGTTCCTATTCATAGTAATTCAACATTTAATATTCTTGATCAATCTCAACCAAATAATTCATATTCAAGTAGGACGAATATTTATCATAGATAAAGTTTGTCTTTTTCATAGTTACTAATGAATCGAGATAAAAATTCATGCTTTTATTGCAAAAATTGATTTTCTACTTAGTGTTAAGAGAGAGAGAGAGAAGAAAATAGTGTAAAATATCAATTTCTTATATTTGTTTCATAAAGAATTACTGAACATTCTAGTAGTTGATAAGAAATTATTCTAATAAGCTCGCTATTCTTTTATAAATCAGCCAAAAACAGTGTCTTGTAATCAAAAGTTATTTTAAATTATCTGCGATTTCTAAAAGATGTTTCTACTTTACGTTATCAAGCTTCGTTTATGAATATATATTATAAAATAAAATCCATATTTTTGAGAAGAAGCAGTAAAGAAAGAAAAAAAGAAAGTTTTCTTAGTAGAGTTTCCTCGATAAGAATTAGAAATCAATATTTTCTTATAAAATTTTATCATTGCATGCGACTTCATGCATACCAATGACAGCCCTCAACGAATGAATTTAGTCTTAATATTTTACGTCGAAAGTATCTACTATAACCAGAACTATCGCCAGAGTTATCCAAAAAAAAAAACGTTTAATATAATTAACTTGTCTATAATATCAATTATGTTATAATTCTATAAAATAATTTTTTTCTCTATTTAGAAACTGAAAATGAAAGTAATGCCTTATTAGAAAGAGATAAACCATCGAATATAATTGATTCATATGATTGTTCAAATGAATATTCATTATCAAAGTCTACATCGCGATTATCTGAGACTGAAACTTGTCGAACTATTGTTTCAATGTTAATTAATCAACGTAAAACAAATTTAGATCTTGAACAACAACTTAAAAATTTACAATCATCAATAAAACCAGTTTCACTTGATGATCATCGAACACATTCATTTGGTAAAAGCAACAAAACTAATTTTCCATATCTTTCTAAAACTTATGTTTTAGTATCATCATTTTCATCAGCAAGTACATCAACGGGTTATTCAAGTGGTTCATCGATTGATGGAAGTAGTACAATACTATCAGCTTTTAGTTCGCGTTCAAATAGTTCATTATCTGAAAGAAGTAAAACATCACCGACATCATTTAAACCAATTTTACCTTTTAAATATCAAGTTACAACAGATGATGATTTTACTTATAAACCTTTGACTTTGTATGAACAAGAACAAACTAATGTCGATGAACCACCGGCTAAACGATGTAAAATTCTTTATACAGAGGTTCGTAATTTTTTCTCTTTTACTCGATTTGCAAAACATATACATCAAATTAAATTAATAATAATCGTCATGCCATAAGATCTACGAAAAAAAGGAAAGGCATGTTATATGTAAGGTTTAGGTACGATTAAGATTAAACTAAGCATCTCAATGTAACTGGTTAGAATCAAAGTTTGATTCAGATAAATTAGAATTTCATTTAAAAAAATAATTGTATAGTTTACATTAGATAATTTAATATTCTTTAAAGATAATCTTACGTTTATAAGATTCAGAGCTTTGATTTAAGAATATATTTACTAGAAAAGAACGTAGAAATCTTTGAATGAAACATGAAAGGTTTCTATTTGATTTGTTCTACAACGCAATTAACAGACAGCTACTGTTTAAATTAATCTACTATAAGAAATAAATTGACCTTTTCAATAAATTTTATTCGTAACTTCGAATGCTTCAATGAATATACATATGAGTTTTGTATCAAAGTATCGTCTCTGACGAATAGTTCGTTTGATGATGTAATGGGACAAATAAATATTTCTGAGAAGCATCAAACAGTTAATGTTTCTTCTTATTTAATCATCATAAATGATTTAATTGTTGCATACATACATGTTATTGAATCATTTTTCTTTTTTCATTTTTTTCATTTCTAAATTCTGCTATTTTCGATAATTTTAGGATACTCAAGGTCCAAGAACTCGATCTCGAAGTATAAGTGAACGCGTGGGAATAAATGATTCATCTTCAATTGTAACACGTAAACGAAAAACATCGATTATTTGTGAACAAAATCAAACTGAAATTAAACAACCAAAAATTGATTATATTAAACAATTAGAAGGTGAATATTTTTTCTTATTGAAAATCATATTTTTTTTAATTTTATAAAATAAACTTTCAGAAATGAAAAATCAATATATAAAATCTAGTACAAGTCGACATACAACAAATGAATCACTAACTAAAAGTCAGTTAGAATCAAAATTAAAAGTTATCGAATTTCTTAAAGATCATCTCTATCCAACTGGTAAAAAGAAATTTCAAGTCATTTTCATTTCAAATAAAATTTCAATTTTAGATTCATCAATATTATCATTTCAAATGTCCAATGAAGAATTATTTCCAAATAAACGTCTGTTAAATCAACGTATTAGAGAAATCCGTCAAAGATTAATGAGTCATTTAAAACAAGAAAAAATTTCAATAAATTCTTCATCATAAAATTATTTTCATTCGATGTTGTGCCATACATATGTTGTGGTAGTCTTAGTCTCTTTAAATTCTCCCACCGGAATGATGTAGCCGTTCGCCTCTTTTCTCTTTCTAGTCCATGTTCTTTCGTTTTCTTTTAGACAACAAAAACAAACTATGTGTGTTTCTCTTTAGGTACAATTTATTGCTTTTTTTCGTGGAATTTATATCATTATATAAGACTCGTTGGTCAACTTGTCTCTAAAATAAAATAAAACAAAACTAGATTAAAAAGATCATCTCTGTTAAATTATCATATTTTTATTGTCTTTTCTATGCAATTTGACGTAAGTTGATCGAAAAGGTTAAAAATATTTATAGAAAAAAATGATTTGTTTGATTGATAAATTTGTTTACTGAACAGATCGTACATCGGATGTGCTGGTGAAAGATTGTTTATTTATGCTGATAGCATATTCTTCTAGTTTAAAAAGAATCATACATCCACACACTCTGATCAAAATAAAGCGAAACACCTATGAAAAAAAGATACTTTTTGTTTTATAAAATACTGATGAATTGACTTTATCAGTGGCAGTTTTTCGATCTGCAACTAAAATATTCTGAATCAATAAACATATTTTAGTCAATGTCATTGTTATATTCAAAATTTCTTCTAATTTGAACGACAAGAAAAACTGAATGAACTACATTCATACTTTTATGTTTTATTTTTTATTGCTTTCTCTTGGTTTTTTTCTTGTTCCTATTCCATTTTTAAGAAGATAAGATTGACAACATACAGAAAAGGAAGGCGAGTTTTTTCTTGTTATATTCCGAAGAATGGCATGGCATCAATATAAGGAGAACAGGAAGAAATACTATTAATTTAAGTCCAGCCTATTTTTTATATTTGTCGTTAGTACATAGTTTTTTTATTCAAAGATTTCCTCGAAAGTAAATAAAATCTTTGATCAACATGTAAAACACAGAGTGTTAAGCATATTTTTTTTAAATCCGGAAGAACGCATGATCAGAATGTAGGTTGTATCAGTTGTGTTAATTAAGAAAATAATTTTGTTGTTACTTGATTATTTGTTTAAATATAGATATACAACTATTTGTTTTATCGTTGTTTGAGTTAAAATTAAAATTGCAACTTATGAAACTAAAGAAAGATCGAAAAACATATTGATGTCATTTTATTTTTCAAGAAGAGATATCATCTCGATGTTTAGAATTTAAAAAAAGCCGTTATGAATGAAAAATATTCAAATGGAAATAGCTAATTATAGGGTAGTCCAAAATATTCATTAATTGAATCATATTCATATGGTGACGGTGGTGTGTTTCTATTGATGTCTTGGATTTCTCTGGTCGGATATAGCCAACTTTTTAAATTAGGCTGTTGACCTAGGCTTTCAATCGCATATGCAGTTGCTTGAACCATTTTATTGAGAGCAAATTCATTGATATTGGTCGTTTTATCACATGCTTGATGATAACATACGTCTTGTCTAATTCCTGCAGTTCCACCCAAATTTCCTCCAAGCATTGTTGCATATTTATTCACTTGCACTGTTGTTTTCACTGCATCTGCACCTGAAAAAAGGCCACCTGCAACAACGCCGGCAGCTAAAAATGGACCATAATCACTACGACCATCAAATCTCGTATAATCCCATGGTAATTTATTTTGATCGAACCAACTTTGAAATAAGGTTGTTGTCTTATTACTTCCTGGTTTCGCAGCTGCTGGTGTATTAGTCGGCGTTGTTCTACCATCATAAATACCAAATATAAAATTTGGTGATCCTAACATATCCAAATTAATATTGATCAAATAATCTGTTATACGTTCACCAACAACAGCCGCTTTTTTTGCTTCTGTAACATGATAATTAGCACCAAGAAGTCCTAATTCTTCAGCACCCCACCAACAAAATCGAACTCGATATTTGTAAGCAGGATAATTTGACGTTTGTAGAAGACTTGATAGAGCAGCAGCTAAAGCAAGATTAGTTGCACTTCCACTACCTGGGATAATAGCAAGAAAAACATAAATAGATTTGAATATGAAATAGTTAGTTGAACATACCATTGTCATTAATGCCTGGTCCAGCAGGAACACTATCACTGTGGCTGCCAATCACAATGGTTTGAGTGGGATCACCTGTTACTGTATCGGCGCATATATTTCCTGTCGGATTTAATGCAGTATCAGTTGCTATAGTAAGACGAATGGTTGCTACTCGTGATGGATCGTTTGCCGCAGAAACCAGTGATTGGCCAAGATTGTATGAAAGAAATAGTGCTGGTACACGATTATTTTGACCAAGATTGATATAAATCGGTTGCATATTGCTGGATGTGCTGCCATCATTGTAGAGTAATAAGGCAGCAACATTATATTTACTTGCAAGAATTGCTTTACTTTCGAAGGTACAATCACCTCGTTTAACGAGTGCTACAAGGCCATCAGGAGATGGTATTGCTGCAAGCCAATCTGCATCAGAACAACCTAAATTAGGAATAGCCGTCAGAACAACATTGTTACTAATGGTAACTGATGTTGAATATTGAACATGATAAAATTCTGCTGCGGCAAGATTGGTTGAATATGTATGTGTTTTAACAACTCCATTTATTGTAGACGATAATGTTGGATTGCGAAGAAGCTGAAAATTTCTCAAATTGAAAAAGCTTTTTGTAACTTTAAAATTTGTTTTTAATGCAAGAAAATTTGTAATATAATCAAGAGTACGATTAAAACCAATCGTTTTAGCAGCTCGATTGCCATTAGAAGCTGTTGCTATAGCCTGGAATTCATTAAGATGTTTCAGAACATCATCAATTTGAACTGATGATGCAAATCGAACATCAATTGGATCATTATTAACAGTCATTCCAGTTACTGAAGGGATTAAATTAATAAATATTAAAATAATTCCAACGAACTGAATCGTTTTTATCATCATGAATGTGCTGCTAAAACCAATAATCGACAAGAATAGTCTAACCTGGATTAGATATACATAAATATTTTTATTCAACGATTTATAAAGACAATTAAAACTATTTATTACAATATTTTTTTATCCATTTTATTGACTTGTATAGATAAAGTTTTGTTCTTATCGATTTATAGTTACCATTAAAACTTAAAAACAATCGTCGAAATAATCAAATATCGTAATAAGGTAATAAAAGGTCATATGATCAGGATATTTAATCATAAAAATAGAGAAATTCTCAATGCATAGACTCATATCTTTGTAGAAAACATGTCAAATTTAATATAAATTCGCGAATCAAAGTTGAAGATTTTCTATTAAAATGTATTTTATGATCCAAAAATAAAAACAACGTTTTCAATCTCAAACACAAAAACATTATGAATTATTAATTCGACTTGAAATAGCATTAGAACTTTGTTGATATTTCTTTTTATATTATATCCAACAGCTTATTATTATACAATAACAAAAGACGAATATTCATCAAGAAAAAATATTTGATAAAATAATCACTAAGATATAGAGCTTCTAAAATTCTATAGCTAGTACATTTCGTTGTTTTATTTGTAAATAAATTTCAAAGAAGAACGAATGAACGTAAATAAGTAAAACTCGTAACTAAAATTGAATGGCATTTATCAATATCTGTTTGAGTTATTGTTGGCAAATTAAAACATTCTATTCTGGAAAATTGACACAAAAAAAAGAACAGAAATATTTTATTAAATGAACATTTAATTTATTATGAGTATGTAAAATCATATTGTTTCTTTTATAAAATCTTTAATCTTGAGTTTTTTTATTTTTAAGAAATTCATTCGTAGAAATAGTTTTAGCATAAGCAAATCCGAGTGCAGCCATAAATGCAGCGTGTACATGCTCAGCTGGAACTTGTATACCATTAAATTCAAGATCACGTGATGCGCAAGCATCATGAATAACAATGCAATTATATCCAAAATCGTGTGCAGCACGAGTAATACCATCAATGCACATGTGACTCATTGCACCACATATAACAATATCGCAAATTTCATTACGATCAAGGACTTCTTTGAGTTTTGTTTCTCTGAATGAATTAATATGATTTTTAACGATGACATGTTCATCCTCGCGATTTTGTACTTTTGCATGAATTTGAACACCTGTTGATCCTAATGCAAAAAATGGAGCATCACTTGTTGGAAATTCATGACGAATGTGAACAACTAAATCATCGGAAGCCCGTGCTGCTGCAATTAATTGAGCTGCATTGTCCGCGGCAGCATCCATGCCACTGAGTACCCATTTACCACCTGGAAAATAATCATTCTGAATATCGACAACAATTAGTGCCTGTTTAGTTTTTTGTTGTTTATTAACGAGTGGCTTATTAATGTCTTCTGGTGTGAGATGAGCTAAATCTTCAATTTCAGCAGAACGATGAAGTTGAGGTTGATCAACCATTTTTTGTGATACTTCACTTAATCGATTTGAGTTCGTTATTCGTTATCTGTCTGCCGTTTGTCTTTTCTTTTCGCTACTGTCAATGTAAATTAATTTATATAGAAACACACCAATGATTGTCTACGTGTCAACATAAATCAATGAACAGTGACATCTTTCTTGTTTTTTAACACAGAATAAGATTTGACGAATGAATTACAAGCGAATATCCAAGTATTGCCATTGCCATGTAGAATAGTAATTAATATATTTTGAAGTTCTTGCAAAGTTATCTATGACAAAGAGAGTTTCTATTTTCGAGTAGTATTCAGATATTTTCTTATAAGATGAAGAAATTCAAGAGAAATATTAATGAAAAAGAACTTTAACAATTTAGTGTTAATTATGTAACACTTTCGTTCATTAGGTGCCAGCACTTAATAGTTCGAAATCTGTATAATATCACACATTGTATTATCATTTATCAACATAATTGATCTTACATTTGAACAATAATATTCTCAATCAATGTTATGAGTCATATGCTGAACTAATTTCTAGGTTTTTGTGAGAATGAAGATCATTAGTAAAATTGTTTACTTCATTTTTCTGAAGAACTGAGGAATATCTATGAAATATTGTTATATAAGAGATTATTAATGAAAAAATAGACAGTGCCACATTATAAATATCTTATTTTTATTTTCTATATTTCAGGTATCAGTGTTTCCTTTGGAATAGATTTTTTAACATGATGATTCTGAGTATTTTTGATTAGAGAAATAAAAATTGATAAGCTAATACTTGATGATATTTTTGACTTCATGATGAGAAATAAGATTTTTACGTGTCAAATTTATCGTATTAAATTTATGTTAGTGTATCATTAGATGCAGTCTTTAATTCAAAAGAAATGAGTAGATACATTTTCTTGAACAACTCAAACATTCATACAGCTTTGTCATTTTATGATTTCGAAATTTTGCTCGTAAAACATTTCTTTTAAAACTACATCGAAAATTGACGATGCGAATGAATAAAAGGCTTCTAATCGCCCACACCCTCGCATTATCGATCGGTGGCGGAGCCAAGGGGAGGGCTCAGTCCTCTACACACTGCTGAGCCCTCCTAGGAGAGGTTTTTATACGTGTATTTTATTCCTTATGCGCGAAGGATCAAAGGTTAGATTTGGTGGTTGAGCATTCACTGTCCAAAATCCTGGTTTCACTACTGTCCTAGATACCCGTGTCGTATACGGATACAAGCAGAACGTATGCGCCCGTTTACGACTGGATATGGACTCCGTAATCCTCTAATTTTGTACTTGTAAAACATCAACAAGAAAGTCTTCACAAGTTACCAATTAATTTGTAGCTGATGCTAGAGAAACATTTGAAACATGTTCCATTTTATTTGAAATTTGATTAAATTGTGTACAAAACCAGATCGAGCAATATTGTTAATCATTGATGTACTTAGACATTGAGCGTGATCCAAATAAACGCAATCGTGACCACGAGCATGGTTAATCGTGAATTGAGTGTTTGATCGAGCTTTGAAAAATTTCCGATCGTATCATGAATCGACTGAAGTGTGAAAATCTCATTTACCGAGATCACTTAATCAGGATTCATGGAGAGAAAATTTACTCGATAAACTATCTAATAATGAAGATTAATCTCAATATTGGTTGGGCGATGAAGTTTCTTTCTGCCAAAAGTCAAGAATAACAGTCGAACTTTTTCAGTAAACGAAATATCAGCTGGTATATTACTGTTGACAAGAAAAATCATGCAAGTGTTAAAGACGAGAATAACACTTTCGACAAAGACACCGATGTCGTAGATGATAGTTAGAAAATCAGTGAGCAGGAAATGACTGATTTGTCTGGAGAAAACAACGATGACAATAATGTTATTGATAGAAAAGAGAAACACTGCCAGGTTGAACAAGCACGTTCGTTTACGAACGTATATGAAGAAAATAAAACGATCGTTATGATTCTTGTACACGGAGTCCGGATACAATCTCCGTTTGGCTCCGTATTTTGTCGTATATGGTCGCACTCCACCGTGTCCAATACGGCGATGTACGATCATAATATTGAGCCATGCAATACGTCCTAATACGGTCCTATATGGGCTCCGTAAACCTAGAGTTGGCAAGTTAATAAATTATATTAATGTAGTAGATTTGATTCAATTATCTACAGATGATTCTGATTTGATTGATCGAAAACCAGGTGATATGAAGACTGAACATATTGACCAAACAATTAATAAAGTAATATCATTAATAGATTGGATATGTCATCTCCACTGCAATTTTCGTATTGAATCTTTTTCTTCGCAGTTTTAGTTGAGCTAAGTTTTCCAGTTCTTTATAGGACTCAATCTCTAAGTCCATTGTTGGTGATTCCGTAACGAGCCTAATTTTGATAATAAAATTGTCACGGGAGTTTTGAATCCTATAAAACTTTCAGAGTATGTAGAGCAATGAGTCTTAAATATATTCTGAAAATTTCAGTTTCATTCAATTTCATTAAGTTGAGATATTCAAAATGAAAAATGAAAAAAGTATTGCGTCGCGCATGGAGTAGTCGTTTTTTTCGAAAAAAAATATGCATTGATCTCTTTCATCGCATCTCTCCATGGAATATAAATCACTCATAAGAATAACGAACAATTTTACTAATAATGCAACACATTTTTATTTTGGTAATTTGAAATGTAATGCAAAGCAATTCAAACTTCTACTAACAAACGAATAGTCATGTTTACGATTGAATACGAAACATTTTATTTCGAACAATATTTCTAGATAAGAGCTGTGGAGACAGTTGTAAGTCTATTATTCGCCCACATCTGTTCATTCGTAATAGAGATCATCATCAGATCAAGACCTCCATGATGTTCTATCTTACAAGGCGCATTATCGTGCTCTGATTAATTATATACTAACCCTTCAGTTAGTTATAGTCTTTTTCACAATGAAATATTTAATCTTTTATAGAGTTACATCAGACATCGCTCGAAGCCACTCACGCTTATATGTCATCTACTATACATATCAGCCACAATCATATACACTTTCCCCTATATTAGTTATCCTTTATTTTCTGTGAATAGAATAGAGATCAGAGGCTATTCCAGGCGTATGGTACCCTGGTACTCTATGATGTTATACTGCCAGGAATGTCCAAAGAGATTTATTTCGGTGACATTTCTTTTTCACAAATCATTTATAATTATTTAGTAAATTCAAACATGAATCTTTTAGAACATGTTTGATCAATATAATTCAATCATTCAATAGTAATTTCAATTTGGAAATCAATTTTACTAGTATTTATGTAGCTGGTACTTATTTTAAATCATAAGAATGTTGAGACAGTATTTTAATAAGAAAATTTCGGTGTGCTACTTAATAGTGATGAAAAGACGACTTTAAATCAGTTGAATGAGAATATTTAGCCGCAAAGATTTTTCCTGTAGGCTGATAAAAGAATAAGATATAGAACTGAAAAATATTAATCATTCATTACGAATAAATTGAAGTGACATCATTTTTATTGTCAAGTATTTATCTCTGAATTCTTTCTAATTGATTGAAAATATTTCTAAGTTTTCATTCATTCAAATTTATTAATCGATTTAAAATGATACAATCTCAATGCATTGTTGTAGCTTGATTTGTGTGCCCAAATTCTTATCAAGAATGATGTCAGAATTGAAGTATAACACATGAGACGATAAATATTTTGTTCATGGCACCCCCTCAGTATTATTCTAAATATTCTTGTTCAGGAAGATGAAAATTTTCGATCTAATACTCAATGATATCTTCAAATTTAAACATGTAATTTTGAGGATATGAATATTTTCACAAATTTGCATTAATTGAAACAAAATATTTCGTTGTTGAATCATTCATCTTTTTTCTTTTATTCTAAAATTCCTCTTTCAAAGCTGTATAAGTTACATAGAAAGTTGCAGTCTTGCGTAGAATATTTCAGTGTTTCAGATTTGAACTTTTTTTTGTAGGATATTAAAATTTCAAACTATCATAAAATATCTCAACGATATAAAAACAAATAATCATGTAATCCATTTTGGGGTATTCATTAATGTTCTGGAAGATATTGCTCATTAATATGTTTAACTGAGATGATTCCAGCTTATTGTTTCAATCAATCATTTAATTATACTTGTCTCGTATTTCCTTGAAGCTTACTACAGAAATTTAAATGAATCATAAAGATAAAATTAAATTAAATGTTCATAAGCAATCAAATAATTTCTTTAATGATTATCTTTATTTGTTTTAAACAAAAACAACCAAAACAAAAATTATTTTATTCGTCGACGACGAATAAAAGAGAGTTCACAGTTGTTATGGACTCCATATTGTTTGATTCGTCGATTATGACTAATTAATTGTTGATGATCATCAGTGGCTAATAGATATCTTTTCCAGATGCTTTTCCAATTTATTTTCTTATCTGAAAATTTTTCTTGAATAGCTCTTTTCAATTCAAATACACGAGCCTCTTCTGATACATAAACATTAATTATTGATTGATCAAATCGTCGAATAGATATTAATATAAGTTGTTCTTGTTGAGGTTGATTTAAGTTTGAAAAAGAAATTTTTGAAGGATGACAGTTAATATCAGAAAATAAAGGATCACTGGATATTATTGTTGATAAACGAAAGTAAATATGAGAAAGAAATTTATCATGGGACATTTTTATTTATTTTGTTTGAGCTGAATCGTAAGAAATTTTATCGATTTGTTCTTGTAATTTTATTTTAATCATTGGTACAGCTGATGTTTGAACAAATAAATGTTGTTCATCTAAGTTATGTAGAATAAATTTTTCTCCAAAAACTAATCTTTCATCCAAATAGACTAAATATTGTTTTACAGCTGGATCACATTTAATTAATGAACCTTTTACTACATTAACCATATCTGAAAATCAAATTATTTTCTATCAAAATAAAAGAAAAACAAAATTATTTGAAATTTTAATACTAATAAAAACAATACACAATAGTTTTGATAGTGTCACAGAAAATTCTGTTTTTCCACATGATTCTACCTATACGTATGAACTATTGTTGTTCTATAAATTATCTCTATGTTTTCTTCATTAAAGGAAACTTTCGTATTTTCTCTCGGCTAAAAAACATTTCTTAAACTCATATTTAATTCTTTATACTTTTAAATTTTTACCGTGTTCTGTATTATACATCTGATAAATTAATTGGCGCTAACGACTCTAAAGATTCAGAAAATCTAAGCAGATATTCGTGTTTTTCAATTGATGAGATAAATATTTTAATGAAATTTCTTATTTATTGTTCAAATAAGTTTTATTCTCTACTAATAAAATCATGGCTGTTTTATGATGCTATGTCATCGACATTTCAACGTATTTTCGAAGTCTAATAATAATAAAATATTTACCGAATGACGTGTTACTTTGAACATAGATCTTATCTCATTAGATGAGATAAAGTAAAACTCTACAAAAATTCATGTCAATATATATTTCGGTTTTATTTATACTGAGTTTTAGTAAGTTTTCCATTAAATCTCATAATCATCCTTATATTAATGTTCAATGTCGACTGATAAATTTTAAATCATGCATAGAGTTCTTCATAAAATTGCTACTATCAATTGAAATCTAGATTCAGTTTTAAGAAAAAAGTTTTGTGCTTACGATGTGCCCAAAACATCAATTCATAAAACCAATTTAGAATACGATTTCAGTATTTTGTTAGAAAAAAATTATTAAAATGGTCCTTAATCAAGAGAAAAAACTAATCTAATACAAATGACATTATATTTTGTATTGTCTTTATAGATTATACTCAACAAGGTGAAACTCAAATAAAGAAGTTTTCATTATGAGTACCTCAATGTGATAGTTAACAATCTTTTTTTTTCTGTTAAGATTTTCATTACTACACAAAAAGGAATACAGAAAACAAAATGAATGTTAACTACTGATTATTTAATGTTTTCATGAAAGAAAACTTTCATAATATTCTATAAAATATTAGACAAACATTAGTATACTTATCATTTTCAATATAAAATATAGTTTCTTTAATAATGAATTTCACATTCAACTTTGCATTCGCTCTCTATGTTGGGAAAATTTCTAACGCCAAATATAAAATAGTTTCATCGATGACATCTAAAAGAAAATCAGGCTTGTAATAGAAAAAATTCGATTTTAATTCAATGTATCAGATTCTGCTATGTCTTATGAGAAACGCTTCAAGAAATTCGATCGGCTCATTTTTGTCTAAATATTCTTCTTCGATTTTGCATAGTCATATCTGAGAACGAGAGATATGAACCAATTGGATATTTTTCTATTGAGCGACACCTTTTGTACTTTTCATTTTTTCATGTCACCGAATTCCAGCGTTTCAGTTTCTTTTTATCCATCCTTCAAATTCAAAAAGTGTTCAAAATGTCTCCAGAAATTACAGTGCAAAAGTTTGATGATATTTTCAGATGATTTAAGATCAAATCTGAAATAAAATAAATAACAATAAGGGAAGTTTCTCTACTCTTTAAAAATCTTTGCCTCATCAGTTTTATTTGTCAGAAAAACACACTTAAGTAGCTTTACATTCGTAACTAATTTTGACGAATGCTTATCATCTTTTCTTAAGTACAGTAATAAAAATACTGGATTTCATTTGAATTGTTATATTCATTAGTTCAATGTGATTGATGGAGATTGTGTTGTTGACATCTGTAGTACAGAAGAATCGATCATGATCGATGATGGATTCGCAGTTGTTTGATTGGCCAGAATCGGAGTGGAAGGTATTGCTTTTTGGGATGTTGATCGATAGGTAGCTACTGTTGTAGATTTGGTAGTAGAAACTGTTGTTCGCCGTCGGTTACGATGTCTCTCATGCCGCAGTCTAGAATATCTCCCAGCTCCGATAACTCGATTCCCATACCTTCGCGATCGCCACGATTGTTCCATTTCAGAATTTTCCCAATCTGATCTGTATCGATGTTTTCGACAGGCTGCAAATGCAATTAGAATAGCCAAGCAGGTGATCAAAAGAAGAGTCGAGAAACGATGCATCGTGTAAGTGATCGTTGAAATTTATTTGAAGTAAATGGTACACTTGTTAGAATGATACATCATTTTATAGCAGATGAAACCAACGTAACAAAATATTTTTCAGTCGAACGAAGTTATGATCAATCGTAAACGCACTTCTTAGACACACTTGTAAAACTACTTCTTCGTCATTTCGATGAATATTCAATTAGGTATAATCAGCAATGTAAGACTCAATTGGTATTCAACTGGAAACCTGATTCCGCAATTCATAGTTAAAAGTTTACTTCGTTGGTTTTTCGTGTCGACTCCAACTTACGGTGAGATTAGAGATGTAATTCATTTTTTTTTCTAATCGTTGTTTAAGGACATTATTTTATTTGACAGTAATGAATTTGTCGAGACAAATGACAAATAAGCTGAATAACATCAACTACCGGCTCTCGATGAGCTTAATATTTACCGATAAAATTCGTATTTCTGAAAAATGTTCTCATATATAAAATCATGACAGTTATTACCAGGAAAGATTAAATTTTCCACATTCAATTTTGGTTATCCCAAAACTATTGAGCGTTGTAGATAGTTCAAAAAATTATTCCAAATAGAAGCTTCAGCTATTTGAAAACAAATAGATACTAGACGAAGCATCTAGAACATCTTTAAAACCGCTAAAAATTTCATAAAACCTTCAGAATACAATTTGAAATCGTGTTATGTTTCACAGCATTAAAAATAACTTTTCATCAATCAGAAATGCTGCCAACCTACGCTATTCTGTAATTCAAGTATTGATGTTACTGTTTGCACTCCTTGTAGGAGACTCAACTCCAAAGAACTTCTAGCGTGATAATAGACAAGACATTGATCATACAGTCATCAACACGTTTAGCCAAATCAATGAATTACTTGGATTTTCAGTTCACTATGAAATTTGTGACACTGATTGTTGTCGGTGAATAGGTCAAAAAAACAAAATAATTGAAACTGTCTGCTATGAGGGGTTAACACATTCCATTAGACAATTGAAGCGATAGAGCTGCATTCCTTTTTGTTTGATTTGACTTTAATCGCATTTAATTTCGTTGTAACAATAGATCATGTACTCGTTTTACATTTAACATAGAAAAAGACACGTATATATTATAGTTGGAAAGAAATATGCAAATCTCGGCATTGCACAACGACTATAACTTTGTCCGTGAGTATATCTGAAGCGAGACCGATAGAAATGAAGAAAAAAATTCATAGATATACAAGTTTAAACAAATGTTTACAACGTCATCCATAAATATAAGAGTTGACATCAACCTAAAGAAAATCACACGTGAACCGGTGTGCAATCTAAAGGACCAGATAAACATTGAACAGATAAAACATATTTATATGCGATGACACAAGATGACAGATTTAGTTATGAAACGAACGAGTTAGGGACAGATACAGGAGTAAGATAATGACTTGAAGTGATGAGGATATTCATATAGGTTTGGATACAGATATAAGAGGGATGGATGTTTAATTAGTAGTTTAAGCAGTGTAGAACCTTTTTTAAAGGAACTAAACGAAAGTGCAGTTTAGAACCAGGCAATGACTCAGAAAATGCTACGAATGGTATAGAAAAGGTCGAAACAAAAAATGTCGAAACTAAAAACGTCGAAAAAAAAACGTCGAAATAGAAAATGTCGAAATAAAAAATACCAAAATAAAAAAGATCGAAAAAAAAATGGTCGAAAGATAAAAATATCGAAACAAAAAATGTCGAACTTATAAAAATATCGAAAACGTCGAGAATGATTTAAGTAAACAATTTAGCATTGAATTGTATCCTGCTGGCAGCTAGAGTTATTTTATGATATTTTTCTGATTGTCCACTGCGCACTCTAAAAACGTTTCTTCCCTCGGATACACAGGCAGAACCTTAAAAGGCTTATCACTAAACCTCAAGGATTTGTACTTTCATGCGAAACCTTTTTAAGTTCCGTCGATTGGTACGAAACTTTTTTAGAGTGTATGACACAACGATCTAGAGCGTTCGAATGTTGGCATTGCCCTTAAGAGTACCCGTATCCTCACCCGTACCGTCACGCTCACCTATTCCTCACTTTCACCCACATAGTGATGTAACGATAAATAAGACTCTGTTGAGTTTATATCGTATTGACAAACTGGATAGAGGTGGAGTAGCTTACAGCCACTCACGGCAATGATGTTTATTCGTTTATTCACATATCCAGAGTGTAACAACTTCATACATAACACACGTATATATAGGAGAGAGATAGAAGAGAGACAGGAGAGAGATATATTATAATAATGGAAAGAGAATAGAAGGAAGAGGAAGGAGAATCATCGAAGCGTGCCATCGATATCGGCACAAGTGGGCCTCATCCTCACTCATACGCACATCCACACCCACACCCTCAATCGGATTTTATGCTCGACAGCAAGAAAGGGAAATTAAATGTACACCAATAAACCATTCCATACAGACATACTCGTTTTTTTAAATACATATAATAAAAGTTTTTTTTTTCTTTTTGTTCTAAACTATTCTTTGTTTGAGATTCTTTCTTTTTCTGTGATGATGATGATGATGTATATTTTCAGATGCTGAGCAATATAACAACAAGCACATCAATCGAGTCGCAATTCGATTCTGCACTCGATTTAATAAGACATCTTCGACCACAACAAGTGGAAAAAAATCTTTCGAATATTAATGATCTTGTACTCGATTTAACTGAAGAATTTTTACTTGATATTGTTAATCAACCACTTAAAGTTCTCCGTGATCGAATTGTTGGAAAAGATTATCTATTATGTGATTATAATCGTAATGGAGATTCATATCGATCACCATGGACAAATACTTATACACCACCATCTAATGGTATGTTTTTAAAAGAAATCTTGTTTTTTTAGAGTCGAACTTTAGCATGGATAGTTTGATTGTTTTTTACGAAATTGATATTTTGATGAATGTTAAAAAATTTCAACGTTCAATTAGTCACTATCGTTATTTCTGGATTAATAATAATTTCAAACTAATGAAATTAAGAGCAAGATTATGCGTATTATCGAATCGAATAATTTAATGTCATTGATTGTATTATACAGATAATAAAAATGTCTGCTCTTTCTTTATTTTTCTCTGAAAAATTAATGAATCTTTAGGAAGATATTCTTTTAAGGATGTAAAAAGTGAATTAATTATTTATTTTTATTTAGGAAATCTTCCATCAGATAGTCTTCGTCAACTTGAAATCGAAGCTAATCAAATGTTTGAACAATATGATAAAATGCCTTTTGATAGTGGTGTTTCTTCAGTTTATTTTTGGAATCTTGAAAATGGTTTTGCTGGTGTTATACTTATTAAAAAATTTTATCATGGAAGTAGTACAAGTGAAGGTTGTCGGGATTCAATTCATGTTGTTGTAGTAGAAGAAAAACAAAACGATCATTCAGCACATTATAAATTAACATCAACAGTAATGCTTTGGTTAAACACAGATAAAACAATGTCTGGCATGATGAATTTAACCGGAAAATTAATACAACAACTTGAATCTGATCATCAAATAGCAGATTTTAGTCAACATATAATTAATATTGGTACAATTGTTGAACAAATGGAAAATAAAATTCATCAAACACTTAATTCAAGTTATTCTGGAAAAACAAAAGATATATTAAATAGTTTATATAATTCAGGAAATATTGATGAATCTTCGAACGTTACAAATAAATCCAATTACCCAGGATGAATGTTACGACGGTCGTAAACGATCATATACGACGCCGTAAACGACCGTATACGGTCGCGTACAGTCTAAAATACGACCGTATACGATCGTATTTCGTCGTATTACTTGACCCTAGAATTATGACCGTAAGTCGTCGTGTCGTATACGACGAAATACGGCGTGTTACGTTGGTCGTATACGATTGTAAATATGATTGAACACTGTCGTAAATCATTGTATGATGGTTCTTTTAAGATCTTTTATGAAACCATTTACTAGTTTTTATCTAATCTAATCAATGCTGTACTAGACAAAAAAAATTTTCCATTGTTTCACTATTAGCGAATCTGTTAATACCAAGCTCCAATAGGCATTTATTTTAATAATCTTAGTATATACAAAATTATCTTTTTTCATTACAAAAAAATATAGCCCAATTTAAAAAAATATTCATTTATCGAATCCATTAATGATTTGACTGGCAGCTTATTGCATTGTATTGTGCTTAATAATCGTCGAGTTTTCGTCGTAATAAAATTTTATAAAATAATCCAAAATTGACCGAATCTAATTTGAATTTGAAGCGAACTGCATCTAGTTTAAATGAGATTTCATGATTGGTGAAAGTCAGATGAAAGTTTTTGCATATCAAGAAATGTTGTGAATTGTTCTTGATTAAGTGGTTCTGGAGTAAGATGTGCTTTACCAATTGGTACAATACAGTTTTTTCATTATTAGTAAAATTATTCGTGGAATTTTTCGAGGATAATCGCCAGTCTTGTGTCATCAGGTCGACTAGCTCAATATTTTTAAACATTTGAATAGAAGCAAGAAAGAAAAAAATAGATTTCGTTTAAATATATTATTCGGAAAAACTTACTAACTTATCTTGAAATTGTCCACCTGATTTATCACTGCACGAATCTAAAGCATGCAGATTCTAAAACAAAAAAGAACTTTGATGATAAAAAGAAAGTAGAATAACAAGCTGAACGATTATAAACATGAATAGCACCTATATATATATGAATACTGTAACAGAAAAGAAAAAAAAATTCCAGCCGAATATTTCGTATTCAAATCCTTTTCTCGCTCGACCGGACGAAGAAAATAGAAACTCGTCGATGATTTTATCTTTCCTTCGTTCATTAAGAAAAGTGAAGTTATTTAGATTCTAATGAAACATTTTATGAAAACATATTTTCAATCATGTTCGTATGAAGATGATTGTTGTCACAACAAGTGAATCACAAAAAGTAGATACTATACAAATAATTGAAGTACTAGAAGGTATTTCAATAAAAATACTATACACTAAAATATTATACAATAGTGAAAAAAATTACTAACATTTTTGTGACCAAAAGAAGTTTATACATATTCAAATATATGTATATATAAGTATAAAGTTTCTTCTCTGTGCATGTAGTAATTAAAAGATCTTTCCCTTGAACAAAAAGATTCATTTAAAAAAGGAGGTCATCGAAAATTGATTAACACTGTCGAAATGGGTACCAGTACATTTAGTGCAGATAATGACAAGTATACCATATAAAAGTTCCGTAAATTGCGAAGATAAAAAAATTAATGTTTTTCAATAAAATGTTACAACTACACGAGGGATGTCATAATATCCACAACTTGGGTATCGAGATGAATACCCTGATAGGATACCCAGTTGGATGGACATCTACGTATCCTCAGAGCTGAGGAATTTGATTGCATTTGGTGTAACGAGAATGGGTATCCATTTTTATATTAATTTGTTTGAAGTAGGACCTGACAGTAGGAAAATTTCCGGTACCCAATCTCGTTACACCAAATGCACTCAAATTCCTCAGCTCTGGGGATATATAAAAATGGATACCCATTCTCGTTACACCAAATGCACTCAAATTCCTCAGCTCTGGGGATACATAAAAATGGATACCCTTTCCCATTACACCAAATGCACTCAAATTCCTCAGCTATGAGGAACATGAGTATTCATTTTAGTATCCATTTTAGATATCCACTTGAATGGATATCGTGACCGGTATGTCGACGATACCCAGTGTTAGGATATTATGACATCTCTGGTCGGACACGATCGTCGTATGTACGATCATTTACGACCATCGTATGCGGACGTATTCTCCCGTATACGATTGCCGTACACGACGGTCGTATACGATTATCGTTATTCGTCGTATAATGCCGTATACGGTCGTATACGATCGTGGGCTTTTAACCTGGGTATATTTAAATAATATATTAATGGAAGGAAAAAATATGAGTGATGCAGATTTTAAAATTTTTATTAAAAGTAAGTAAATAAATATATGATTTACGATCAAAGTGATCTTTGTAAGGAGCAGGTTTAATAGCAATTGTTTGAGAAGATATTTATTAGATATTTAATCTTATGTATGATAATAAGTTTTGTCAATAGTGTATTCTGATTTCAATTATCAAAGTCTGTTTAGAAATTGAATGCAATTATTGAGAAGATTGCATTTAATTTCTGTTTATATCCTTGGTCTCGATAGGAGTTTCTCTGATTATTGTAACGAAATATTTTGGTGAGTTATAATTCTTTGGTTCTGGGTGAATTGATGAATCAAAATATAACGTTATGGGTTTTGATGATATTTATTTTAATAACAATATGAGCACACACAGATAATAACAATATGAGCACACACAGAAAATAACAATATGAGCACACACAGATAATAACAAGTTGATATAAAATTGATAAATAATTAGAATACGCACAATAATAATAAACGTTGAACGATTATCGTTTCACGATTCTAAATTGTAACCTCTACTTAATATTTCTAGCTAAGTCACTCTTTTCCTTAAACTATCTATATTACTCCTTCTCAATACTACTCCAGAATTATCTCTCTCCTTTCTCTACTTTACGTCCCTCCTATTTTCCTATATCCCCGTTCTTTTATACTTTCGCTCTTTTCTCTTTCTCTATTTTCTTCTATATTTCTATTCATTACTATAAAAGGAAATTATGAACTAAATAAAGAATAACTTGGGCCATTTCGATTATTTCATTGATTGACATAAACTCCTGATCCTATCTTTATCATACTTGACCTGATGACGTACTGATAATATCAAGAGGATATTCTTTCTTATTATGACCTCACCTTGCACTAATGCTTTTATGAACGTTGTAATATATAATCGTTCTTGTCGACTACTCTAATTATCCATATAGGGAATAAGAAGAAATTCCATAATGGTGAAACGTAGATATCTGAATTAAGAGGGGTGTATCATTCATAAAAAGGTACACATGATTTTCTGAATATCTGGGAATATAGATTATTGGCGCAATTATACATCTCAATTTCCTATGGATTATAATAAAAATATAATCTTTGATATTATAGATCAAGCACCGAATTTTTATTGGGAGATTTTGGCTGAACGTGCTCGAATAAAATTGGTTGATCAACTTAGAGAAAATCAACAAGTAGATCGAAAAAAAAGAAATGATTTATCATTTATTTCTTTTTTAGCTTCATGAATTACTTGATGAATTAATCAATGAACGTGGAGAATTAGAAGAAAAAAAGCAACAATATGAAAATTTTAAAAATATAATCGAAGTAAATATTCTATAGTTGTTGAGATGCCTTCGTCTTACATTTGCCTCTACTTAAATCTAACACCGCCAATAGAGAGATATCTGATAGTAGGTGAACAATAGATATAAAGAAAAATAATATATCCTATTTAAGTCAATTGGTCAAAGAACAATGAGTAATCATTGCTCTTCGCGGACGGCATCGTTCACTCTCACCTCCATCATATATATAAATGCTGCTTGATGGACATTTTCTATCAGTTATAGAAAATAATGTCTATTAAAAAAGAAAATAATGACCGTGAAGAAAATAAATCAGTAAGTCAAGCACGTCTCACGATAGGAATAGTTCAGAATATAGATAGATATAATGTAGTTCTTTGTTTGATTTTCTTCCTAGTCATTAATTTATTTGAATTTCCTTTTTAGAGTACTAATGGAATCAACTCGTTATTATTATTCAAAATGTTACAGTTGGTTCAACAAAAGCAACAATTAGCTCAGGAAAAGCAACAATTAACTGAGGAAAAACAACAATGGCTTCAGGAAAAACACGAACTTTTACAAATAATTAAAAAAAAATAAAAAACAATATTGTTGTTAATTTAAATCTTGTTGTTAATTTATATCTTGTTTTTCTATATATTAGTTTTCATAAATTCAATTCTATGTATGTTGTTTTCTTTAAATTTTCTAAAACAAATAAATGTTTCGATTATTTATTCTATTCTTTTGTTTAATACATTTGTCGTTTACTTTCTCTTGAGAAAAAGAAAAAGAAGAATTATAATTAAAAAAATTAAATGGTTTTAGTGTAGATTTTCTCGACAATATGTATAGACTCATGATCCATGTTCTCGTCATAGTGTTTTAGTTTCAATCTATGTTTCTGATAGTTCTATGACTAATCGGGCTTTTTATAATATTAACGGAGATTTTCTTTATTAGTAAATCATTTCATTCTTTTGTTTTATAGGGATTTTTTATTATTATTATTTTTTTTAAATAGTTGCACAACATGGTTCATTATGTATAACAACAGAATAAAGTCGAATGTTAGTTAGACGAAAAGATATTTGTGTTATTCAAGTATTTGATCAATGAATGAATTGATAAAAAAATGAAAAAATAGTTCTTTATATGTCACACGTCAAGAATGTACATCATTTTTTACAGGTACTGCGTATATATTAGAAGAAATAAATGAATATGTTTTATCCTGTCCATCGGGTGTTGTATCCGTATGCCATATTCACGTTGTATACGTTGTAAATCATCTCCAGAAAATAATTATTGCAATGGTGCATGTAGAGAAAAACATATACATTCAATAGGAGATTTTCAATCATTAAAATATTGTTCACGTGTTCATACATTAAATATATATATATATATATATATAATATAGCAACAGTTGAATCTCGTGGAAATAATTTTTCTGAAGCATTTACATCATTTAATTCTCTTGAACAAATTGATCATGAATTTAAAATACATAATGTTAAAGCATTTTCAACATTTAAGTATTTTTCTCGTTTACATCGTGTTGGTATAACAACAAATGCAACATTAACGATTGAAGAAAATGAATTTTTAACTGAATTATGGCCAAATACGCATTCACCACCGATTATTCAACGAAGTTTAAATATTGTACGAAATGTAAGATTATGTTTAAAACATATTGTGGATTTTATTAATTTTACAACAACACATGAAAAAGGTTTAATTTTTTAGATTTTATATGATGAGATTTATGTTTTTTTTTTGAAGAACTTCAAGTAACACCAAATGCATGGAATGAATATGCAAATGGCTACTTAGCTTCATGTGAATCGAATTTTTTAACAATAACAATTGATAGAATACGTTCATTAACAACACGAATAAATGTTGTAGTACCAAAAGAATTATTTTTCCGTTCAGGTGAAAAAGCTAAACATTTACGTCGTCCATTTTTATCAGTTTATTATAAATCAACCCGAACTAAAAATGAAACACATTTTGATGCAACACAATCGCATAAATGATTACGATTAGTCGAAAAGTTAATTATAATCCAGCACCACATGGTAAGCATACATCTCTTCTAATCATTCTTGAACTTCTCGTTTGGTTCTAGGTGGTTCATTTATAATGAGTGCTGAATTAACATCATTACTTGGTGATGAATGGTATGCTGTTTATGCATCGATGACATCACATGTTAATACTGTTGGATTATTTTCTCCAATTTCATATTTTCGTACATTACAATAACAACCTGAACCAATACTTACCCTAGTCGAACATCTTGTAAGCAAGATCTGGGAATCTTGGGATCGGTAAGTAAGATCTTATTAAGATCTTAAAAAGATAATTTGTATGTTCATATCTTGGTTGTATCAGATAAATCTGTACTTAAGATCTTGGCAAGATCATGGAAAAAATATCGTCTACTATTATCTTTCGATAAGATCTTGAGCGAAACAGAAAGCGACATCATTAGTGTATTTACATGCTCTCTAGTCATTCACCGTTTTTTAAATGCACACACAGCTGTATATAAACAGCATGATTGAACATATGAAATACAAATTTTCAAATTTTTTTTTTCTCAACTATTTCTCGATTATTCGAGAGAATGCTGATCTCGATCGATGATCGAGAGAGGACTTCCCTAATTGGTCCGCCTGATATCGGACCAATTTATAGCCAGTTAGATCCCAACATCTGACTTGTTGGAATTCGGGAGAGGAATAATTAAAATGAAAATAAATTGAAAAAATATTAAAGAATGCAGCACGTATTATTTTAGTGTGCATCCAAGATTTAAGGGATTCTTATGTAAGATCTGTAATTAGATCTTGGGCACAAGATAATACAGTTATCTTGTACCTAAATTTTCAAGATCTGTTAACATATCTGTACCTTGTATCTTGACCAAGATCTTGCTTACAAGATGTTTGTCTAGGGTATAATTTACGTGGTGAATCATTATCTCGTTCAACTATTGAATTAGTGTGGCAACCACCATCGAAACCTAATGAACCAATAACAACTTATTTAGTTTATTATGCACCTATTGATGATCGTTTACCAGTAAATAATTCCAAATTACTTTGTTTAATGAAAGGTAAGAATAGATAAAAAAAATGAATAGTTTTTAATAAATATTCTTTTTTTAGATCGTTGGCGATCAGAAGAAAGTGTTTCAATGGATAATTTAAATCTAAATAATCAATCAACACGATGTTCAAGACCAAAAAATCGTTTAACTGATACAATTACAAATAATGATGATGAAACAGATGAAGAAATTGAACAAAATACTGGTATTGATCAAGTTGTTACTGATTTATCCCTTCTTGAATATTAATTAATTAATTCGGTTAGTCAATGAAAAGATCCATTATTTATTCGTTCAGAACTTAAAGATACGATCATCAATGATTTAGATCATTATTTTGAAGATAAAAGTAGTACTTTTAATGATCAATATAAATCTAATTCTGAAGAACAACCTGTTGTCGAACATAAACCATATATTAATGAATATAATCGTTCAATATCAGATACAAGAGTACTTATTGAAGGTTTAAAATAAGCACAAATGTATATGTTTCAAGTATTTGCATGTCATAATGTATCAAAACAACCTTTGTCAGATGCTTGTAGTCTTAATGGAATTATATTAGCCGTTAGAACAAAACCCGGTGATCGTATATATTTATTTAAAAAAGAACGAGATAGAAATGCAAATATCATTTATTTTATTTTTAGCATCACGTGATTATAGTCCGTAATGTACAATTAATTGCTCCTGTGCAAAATTCTGATCATTTAGCAACAAATATAAAATCTCATAATTATCATATATCATGACAAGAACCATTACAACTTAATGGACTTATATATTTTTATATAATCCATATCGAACAAGCTAGTAGTAATTGACCAAAAGATGAACGTCGTGTTAGACATATTATTCATTCAGTAGATGTACCACTTTTACCTCGTACAACATATCGTTTAAGAATAATAACGTATACAATTGCTCGATTAAATAATGAATATGAAGATCGAGAAAAAATAAATGATGATTCGCATTCATTCAATACAGCAAATTTATTTGTTGAATTAGTTTTTACAACAAAAGATTTTCCAAGTAAAATAGTTTTGTATATATATTAATTAAATTTATAAATAAATCTTTTTTTAGATAATGAATTAACACGACAAAATCGTTTAATATTATTTATATTAATCATTGGTTCAATTATACTTTTATTAATCATCATTATCGGTGCACAATTTTATTATTATAAATATAGTCGAGGAGATAATAAAGCTTCTATATCAAAAAATCCAAATTATGGTTTGTGAATTTTTTATATACATACATTTATTTAATTGAATAAGCTTTTGTTTTTAGAATAAATACATCTGATCAATGGGAAATTGATCAAGATTCAGTTACAATTGATAAACTTATCGGTCAAGGTCATTTCGGACAAATTTATCAAGGTGTTTTAAAATTACCAGATGGAACATTGAAACCCTGTGCTATTAAAGTAAAGAATAAAACAAACATTATTTTTATCTAATTTATTTGATATGCTATAGCTTCGAACAACACATCCAACTGATTTATTACAAGAAGCATCAATAATGAAATTAGTTAAAATAAATCTCTTTTTAATAATTTATCTTTTATTTTCTAGACAATTTCAATGTCATCATGTTATACAATTATATGGTATATGTTCTCCTATCTGTTCTCCATATGTTGTTATGGAATTAATGGAAAATGGTGATTTAAAAAATTATCTTTATCGTCATCGACAAGGTGAAATAAATGTAAATAATAATTTGAAAAAGAAGAAAAAAATTCTGAAACATTTTGTTTTCTCTTTAGTCAAATGGTGCAAGATTACTTGAATCAGCAATGATTCAATTAGCATTGGATATTGCTGATGGAATGTATTATTTATCGGATGAATAATTTGTACATAGAGATTAAGCTGCAAGAAATTGTCTTGCTAATGAAAATCATGTTTGTAAAGTTGGAGGTAAAATTTAAATAAAATAGTCTTTTTTTCGAATAATTATTTATTCGTAGATTTTCGATGAACTCGAGATACATATGAAACAGATAATTATCGACGTGGTGATCGAAGTTTTCCCCCTATTCGCTGGATGGCACCAGAAAGCTTACGAGATGGAAGATTTGATACTGTATCTGATGTTTGATAATAACACTCGAATTTCATTTTTGGAAAAATCTAATATTTATTATAGGTCATTTGATGTTCTTTTATGGGAAATCGCAACATTAGGTGAACAACCGTATCAAGGTTATGGTAATGAAGAAGTTGTACATTATGTTCTTTATGGAAATATAACTCTTGAACGTGCACAAAATTGTCCTGAGATTTTGTAAGAAGAAAATTTCCTTTGATAATTTTTGAAAAACATGTTTTTCTGTTTAGACATAAATTAATACGTGCATATTGAGCATTTTCTCCTGGTGATCGAATATCATTTCGACCGATTGTTGATGAATTAGTTCCTTATGAAAACGAAGATTTTCGTTTACATGCATATTATCATACACAACCAAGTCTAAGCCAACCGAAAGTATCAATTGATAATACTCGTAATGATGAAGAAGATCTATTATTAGGTGATGATGATGATAGTGGACATCATTTTAAAAAAAGCAAAATGAATCTCTAATAAATATTTTATTAATGTTGTTTGTGAAAAGATAGCTTTGAGTTCTTTTTTAAATGATGATAAATATTGAATAAGAAAAAAAAAGAATAGAAAATATGGTGAACTATTCGCTTAATAATGAACAAGAACGAGATGAAGTACCGAATACATATGGATTTTTTGTTTCACCGAACGAAATTGAGTAAGATGATAAAATCTATTTCGATTTTATTTTATTTTATTTTTTATAGAACAGAAGAATCAGTAAAAGCATCAGTAGCTCGTCGTCAAGAACAAAAATGGCTTGATATGTTTGCCGATTGGGCTTTATCTATTGAATTACGTTTTGATAAAGTCAAAACGCGTTGTCGAAATTAGGAACAAGAAACATTCAATTCGGTCGTTCTCAATCTCATGCTGATCTTTTATCTTCTCCTAAACTAACACATCAACGAACAGTATCTAACAATTCACTTGCGATTGGTGCTTTTCCTTCTTCATCAACTCCGACCCCACCATCCCAGTGGTCATATAACTCCAACTCTTAATAAAACTCCACCATCTTCCACAACAACTGCTTTGATGATGATTCAGAAAAATCATTCAAAGAATTCTGCATCATTTCCAACAATTTCTAATCGTCATCATCACACACACAACTTTTCTCCGTCCGATAAACGATATAGTAATCACACCTAGTGTGATCTCTTTTTATGGGATCACTTAATGATAAATGTCTGCTCTTTTTTCTATGAAGTGTTGAATCTTTGTTTTTTTCGATAATTCGAACTGAATAATGATGAGTATTGACGAAGAAATAGAATGGTATAGAAAAGGTCGAAACTAAAAATGTCGAAAAACAAAAATTTCGAATAGTAAAAAGGCAGAAAAAAAACGCCGAGCGTTGAAAAGATCGAATGCTAAGAAGATCGAAAAAAAAAGATCGAAACAAAAAATGTCGAACTTATAAAAATATCGAAAACGTCGAGAATGATTTAAGTAAACAATTTAGCATTGAATTGTATCCTGCTGGCAGCTAGAGTTATTTTATGATATTTTTCTGATTGTCCATTGCGCACTCTAAAAACGTTTCTTCCCTCGGATACACAGGCAGAACCTTAAAAGGCTTATCACTAAACCTCAAGGATTTGTACTTTCATGCGAAACCTTTTTAAGTTCCGTCGATTGGTACGAAACTTTTTTAGAGTGTATGACACGACGATCTAGAGCGTTCGGATGTTGGCATTGCCCTTAAGAGTACCCGTATCCTCACCCGTACCGTCACGCTCACCTATTCCTCACTCTCACCCACATAGTGGCCCTCATCCTCAGTCATACGCACATCCATACCCACACTCTCACTCTCAATTTCACTCACACTCATATAGATCTGATTTTAAACGAGTTCTATTTTAAAAGCATCAATAAAATTATTTACATTTGAATAATCCAAGCTATCTTGTTTTAACATTTTCGGCATTTTTTTTTCGACCAAACTATCATTCGACGTTTTTATCATTCGACATTTTTTGTTTCGATTTTTTTTTTCGATCTTCTTAGCATTCGATCTTTTCAACGTTCGGCGTTTTTGTTTCTGCCTTTTTACTATTCGATATTTTTAGTTGCGACGTTTTTTTTTCGATCTTTTCTATACATACCAATGCGACTAACAATTCGAACCTATTTAAGTACAGTATGACACCCATTTTGTTTTTATAGAGATTAGTCTGCTTAGAAAACAGCCTGAGTTGCTATTTTCTTTACATAAATGTAGCATATATCCTATTCTATACTAATAACACAATTCATCTTGTTCAATGGTAATTATTAAGAAAAGTGTCTCTTCTGATCAAGAATATGTATGAAATACAAAAGCAAACACAGAAAAATATTATGGAAACTTTTTATTCGACCGTTGTCACTGTGTTCATTTTCGTATGGAAAAAACTATTATATATTCGTATTTGGAGTATAGCACGAACACAGAATTTGGGGGAACTATATAATATTAAGGTGAACTATTAGAAAAGAAAAGTAGTCTACTCAATGCCAGTAGCAATTTTAATGACTATTTTACCAACTACACGACGATTCATTTGCAAGCGAAATGCTTCTTGAACACCCTCCTCTGTGAATGGCACGCAATTTGCTATTTTGACTTTAATTTGCTTCGCCTCACAAAACCTTCGCAGTGAATTGAGTCTTTTAGCACTATCAGGAAACCTCACCCAAAATAGCTGCCTGCCCGATGAGAAGCAGTCGACACCCAAAAATCGCTTTAAGTGCGCAAATACCCAGTCTTTGGGGACGCCTCCAATAAAAATATACATTCCAGACAACAATGGAGGTCTTAGATTACGAATTCGGCTTTCATAAGCAAAACTTGCATCTCGTGGGTCGTGGGAGGAGACAGCGTCAAAGACCAAGTCGAATGAACCATGGCGCGATGTTATAGTTTGTAAAGCCTGTAAAACATCTTCAGATCCATCGTAAGCAATGACATTATCTGCGCCAAGATCTTTGACGAAATCGACGTTACGTGAACCAGCCACTGCAGTAACTCTGGCTCCTTTAGTTTTAGCTATTTGTACTGCTATATGACCAGTTCCGCCCGAAGCACCTAGAATCAGAACATGTTGTCCAATCTTTAAATTATTGTCATCAAACGCTTGCATAGTAGTCAAAGCTACTAATGGAAGTGCACTCGCTTCAACAAATGATACGTTCCTTGGTTTGTGACTAATAAAATCAGTTGGTGCTCGTACATATTCAGCAAATGAGCCGCAAAATGGAGGAATTGTTCCAAATACAGCATCTCCAGGTGCATATCCACAATCAGACGGTGCTTCGACTACCACACCACTGAAATCAATGCCACAGATTCGACCTTCAACAAACCATTTAACAAGAGGCAGCAAGAAGTGTGGTAGTTTGTCGCCGTAAAGGAACTTTGCATCTACTGGATTGACACCGCCACAATAAACACGACATAATACCCACTGACGATCAGCTATCTCACCATATGGACCTGGTATACTTGGAAGTAACCTACGCAGTAGACACATGCAATAGCTCATAAAAGTGCTGATGAGTTCGATTATTCGAAAATGCCAGAAACGAATGACACCAGTGGAAGTAGGATCATACTGTGTTGACATTAGAGATGGGCGTGGAACGGTGGCAATTCTAACACCAGATCTCGAATTCTTTGAATAGAGAATAGCTTGCATTTTGATGATTTTACGGCGTGTGCTTAGAAGTTGCTATCAGTATTATATGTTACATTTTTTATTATCGGTCAGAGTAAAAAATGACAGCGAAGAAAAAGAAGATAAGAAAAAGATCAACACAATCAGCGTATACAATACATTGCTATTTTTTCTTACCCAATCGTAGCCCAATGTTAACAAATTCATCAGCAACTAAGTAGTATCTATTGTACAAATAAAAGAGACTAGTTTTGACCCCTGAATGATTTCTTCAACTTATGTTCACATAAATGAAGTGATTTTTGTTTATTATTGACTTAACTTCTATATTATTGTTACATAGAAATTCTTGTAAAAAAATACAGTCCAGCTAGGATTCAAAATTTATTTAAATTGTATAATGACGTCTACCTAAACATTAAAAATATGAATTTTTTTGGAAAACTTATCCTAATTGACTCCAAGTTTCCTAAGTTGCAGAACTATGGCGGAACATTCGAGTCTAAGAGGAAATCATCGATAACATTATCGAAAGATTCCAAGGATTTGTTCAAGTTATTTTTTAGTTGTCATGGAACATGTTTCCTCACTATTATTCCTCTGAATCTTTGTTTATCACTGTTTTCAAATTTTATTGTCACGTTATTGCTTTGCATTTTCGGACATAGATTATTTTTGTTTTATACTGATAATACCTGTAGAGCTGTTTTTAAAATGAAAAAGTAAATGTAGGCTTTTAAAATCTAAAACTATCAAGAATGATTTAAAATCTTTTAGAGTATAGTTAGCAAAATTTTTAACTTGAAACAGTACTGATGTATGCATAGATAACGACAAGACCAGAATTCAGACCTATCTCTAGAATTACAACCGCCCTTAGCGACAATGGTTCTGCGCTCAAGAAATTGAAAATATCTGTTACATGAACTAGTGCAAAATGTTTAAGACAAAACCTATCTTTAAACAGCGAAACACATGTCAAAACAAAATATTTTAAAATAAATCATCAGAGAATAGAGAATAGGAGAAGTAAAAGATTCATTTTATGATGCAACTCTTATTCGTTAATAAATTAGAGAGATGCAAAGAAGTTAGTTTAAAAGTTTCGTCAGATAGCGAAACGAAAACAAAATAAAAGAGAATAGACAACAGTGATCTTGTGAGAGGAGAAGATTGATTTAATCTCAAAACAAGTCTAGAAGAAAAGGCATCTAAAGGCTTCTTTGCTGATTGAATAATGTAATGATTACAAATCTTGCTGATAGTCGCCATACTATTTAATGCTAAAAGTTTGTAGCCATAATTTTTGAGTTCCTATTGACCATATGAATTTAGAATTGATGATAAAACTGGTTGTTTACTAACTTGCAATGCGTATATCAATATTAAGACAATGGAATGCACTAATTCAATCGATACATACATGAATTCAGGTCTAAACTAATTCATGTGTTTCATTTTATACAAGACAAAAAAAAACTTCAATATTCCGATGTTCAACTAGCGCGGTGCCTTGCTTTACAATGAAAATCAGTGAGACACTAACAAAATCAACTTTCTTGTTGTATTAGCTTAAAGGAGTGCTTACGTTGAATTAGGAGAAATGAACACTTACAATCTGCCAAATCTATCACTCAATAAATATAAAATTATATTTATCATATTTTTTGACATAAATCGAAATTCTAGAAATTCAATGTTTATTAAAACATACAGTCATCTGTGGTGACTTTTTTCTGATCATTTTGTTTCAGTAATCATCTAGTTACTTCGAAATCCTTCTGCAATTAATAACTACAAGAAAGTCAGAGAGAACATTAGAATAAATAGATGAAGTTTAGAAAAGAAGACAATGCACTATGAAATGTTTTTTGGGGAAAAAAGCTCGATCCATCATGCTTAAAGAATACTTTGCATCATACAATAGTTTCATCACACTATGATACACAAGTGATAAGTCTAAAATTGACATAAAGATATAAACTGTAACATTAGATAAGGATGTAAGAAAATTATTATTCTTTTGTTTTTCACAAATCATTAGTGTCAAGATTCAAGCTATGGAAATTTGACGTATTCGTTCATATCTCCTCGAATTGAAAGATATTTATCTGAAACGTTTTTTTAAAGTTTTTAAGAAAATGATATTACCATATTCAAGTAAAAAATACTTAGGTCTGACCAAAAGTTCTGCAATTTAAAAAAAATAAAGCAAGAGAGGAACTTCGAGTTTTATTTTATTAAATGTTGATGATAGTTGCTTTGATTATTTATATCAAGTTGAATCCTTTCTAACAATTTGTTAAAAGTTTTTTTTGAACTCTTTTTCGAAAAACATTTTAGATGCCTTGGATACCACATGGGCCAATCATATTTCATTGTTTTAAAAGTTTAGTGAGATTTTGTTCGATCATAGCAGTTGCTTTCTAACACTACTAGTGATGGGATATGAGTTTATTTTCGATAGGTTAGTCATATGTCGTCTGATGCTAGCTGGCTTATTGAAGATGAATCGTCACAGACTATTGTTCATGAAGAAGGATTTTACTCAAAACTTTGTTTAGTATATTCTTTAAATCAAATAGTCCTCAGTGTAGATAAAGGCAAGACTACAGGTCGTAAGTATTATATTGAAAATTGTCCGAAGTCTTTTGTTAATGGAATATGGAAACAAACAGAGATATTAGGGCTAAAATGTACAAAATTGCTTGACGATCATCGTTGACTTCATACTTATCCAATGTTATTAACTAGATGACAGAAGAAGGATTCAATATAATGTCATATCCATCATATTCGCCAGGCATGATACTATGTCATTTTTGGCTAACCAATTCTATTGAACGTAGTTTAACGAATAAAATAAATGAAATATGATTAGTTCATGTGGTATCCAAGATACCTAAAAGTTTTTTTGAACTCGAGTTCAAAAAAACTTTTAACAAATTGTTGCAATGGATTCAACTTGATATATATAATCATGGCAACTGCCATCAACATTTAATAAAATAAAACTCGAACTTCCTCTTTTTCTTTATTTTTTTTAAATTGCAGAATCCTTGGTCAGATCTAAGTATCATATTTCAAATTGAAACATGATTCTATTCTTCTGTTTAATGAAATATAATCGAAATCAAGAAACTATATTCTACTGGAGATATCAATTGTTTGACTTTAATACTCGATTGCAAATGTGTCACGTTTTTTCCCTTCAATGTAAAATCCACCGTTATTTTTGTATTTCTCTTTCTGCTTTATAAACACAAATTAACCTTGTTCTTTCATCGGTGAATGATAAAAAGAAAAGTTTTTCTATAAACTATTGTTTTTAAATCAACCAAGCCAATAAAAACAGTTGACAAGGACTTAGTTTTTCATCTTTCTACATACGTATATTTCTTTTCGTTTTGCTTCGTCTCTTTCAATAAATAATATACAAAAAACAAGATGTTGCAGTAATTTGACAAGAAAAAAACGAATATGAAAAAGTTCTATAGATAAATATTACAAAAAAGAAAAAAGAAGAAACTTTTACCAAACAAAAGATAGAAGTTAATGTTTATAGTGAGATCTTCTTTATTTACATATGTAGTTTTTTTTATACATGGGATGAAATGAAACAAAAAAAAATATATATATATATATATTTTATATAAAGGACAAAATAAATTGAATCCATTCTCCAGTAGAAAACATCTGTTCTATCAGCTGATTTTATTTAGGTGGAATGCATTTTCTTTTTTTCTTTCTTTTTCTAAATGTATGGAGAATAGATCTTACGTATCAGACAGCCAACATTAATTATAGGTTAAGCAAGAAAACAAAATAAAAATAAATTAAGTCTAAAAGGTTTTTTTCTTCTTTTCGACCTATTTCTTTCGTTTTGTGCATTTGTTCTTGTTGCTCTGTTTTAATATTTTTTAAGAAAAAAAGAATACACAAACTTATTGGAGAGTAGGGAGAGTGCGACCGCAAACAACATCGGCGTAAGTTGGTCGATCAGATAAATTCATCAGTGGTTTCAATTGATTATATGAATGAGAGATAAATCTTAAATCGGATAATTCTAATCGAACAACTTTGTACGATGGTAATGAACGAACAATCAAATCTCGGCAAGATAATAATGCATCACTTTCTACCTAGAAAAGAAAAATTATGCAGAATTGAATTTTAGTTTAGTTTCTTTTTCTTTCGTACTTTAGCTAATTGTTGTAAATAACTAATCGACGCTAGCCAATCAATATTTATTTCTGATCCATGTGCCTGTTGTTTTTCAAATTCGACACTTATAAGAGCCAAAGCAAGAATTCGAGGCTTAAATGAAGTTAAACGATGTTGTTGTAGACAAGCAGCCAATTTTAATTCCAAATCAATATATTTTTCAACTATAGCTTTCTCATTGTCTTCACCTTGCTGACTACCAATTATAACCAACAAAAGTGCAAAATACTACAAAGAAGAACATATTTTTGTGGCATTTAAAAAAACGTAGCTAACAAATTTTTTCTATGAACTTACGGTTTGTAAAAAATCAACTGGTGTAACAAAATCCACGAACCATTCAAATTTCTCCAAAATTAATCGTTCCATACGAAGAAGTTCATTTGCTGAGCAACTTGCATTACAATCAATAACAAATTCAGGTGTTATTGATATTGTATCGTCTTCTTCTTTGCATTTGGCCGCTATGTATAAACATCCAACAGCTAAACATTCTAAGAATTTTGGACGAACCTTAACAAATTCATTTGAAATAATTTAAAAGAATAATAACTCAGAAAGTAATTTTATTTACTTTAAGTGTTGCTAAAAATCGATCAAGTAAATCAACACTAAGTGCATATGTATCAGTCCCAAAATGCATTGATGCTGCCACTTTACGAAGCCAAGATGATGCATAATTACGTTGTGAACTATTTACTTCGTCCTGAAAACAAAAGTGTATTCTAATTTATTTATTTATTTTAGAAGATAATATCAGTCACATTATATTTATTGACAGAAATGAACATTAATTC